CGGTAGTTCATCACAGCGAAAGGTTCGGTTTACACTAAACGTTCTTAACTGAAATTAAAATTCTAGTATGTTCAAGGATACCAACAAACGTACATTTGTACGCCACGGAACAAATAATAGAACAAGTAACTTGCATAGAATATATGCGAATAAATATCAACAACCAGTGTAACCCAATAAAAGAAATCCTATCAAGAATAGAACAAGCGAGGAAAACACCCATGAACATTTTTTACAAGAGCAGATCTTAGTCTAGAGCTCAGAATCTAAATAATCAGATGTTAAGTTTTCTGTCTTTTGCTTTAAGGCTGTGAAAGCTAGACAATGGACACTGAAACAGAAAAAAGAATAGATGTCTTTGAGATGTATGTGTGACCTGGGATGTATCCTCAGACGGATCATGAGAATTCCATTGGTACAAAAAGTTACCAACGGTGAAGTAGTTCGACACATGAGTAAACAGAAAGAATTACTAAGCATAATCAAAGAGAGGAAAATATAATACAAGAGTCATGTGTTGAGAGGTGAGAAATATGAATTACTAAAAATCATCTTGGAAGGTAAAGTACAGGGCAAAATACCAGTTGGAAGACGAGAGAACCCGTGGCTGAAAGACCTGAGAAGATGGTTTAACCTATCATCCATAGAAACCTTTCGTGCAGCAGTTTCCAAATCTACAATTGATATTTGCCATTACTTCTTATACTTCAATTGAAAAAAAATCAGAAGACTGAAGAACTCGAACAGGAAACAGTACCTTGGTTACTACTACGTTAACTGATATATTAGTTATCTAAATAAATGCAACTAGTATGATATAGCACACTACACTATTGTTTTACATGTAAACAACATAATACAACAAACACAATTTAATATACAGGGTTAGAACTCCAAGAAATTAACATAAGACAAAAATATAGTTTATAGTTCGATAGTTATATAGTTAGACTAGAGGTAGACAATTTTGAATAAATATCTGGACAGGACGAAAATGTTACCTAAACCATGTGTATGAATTACGAGTGAATCAAGTTATCGGTTGAAAAGTAGAACGGTGAACGACAGGATATCATGGCTCGGTGTCCCCCACTCTACTGATACAGATACAGGTACTACTGTGATTCCTACTGGAAGACATTAGAAAAGTGGAACAAATGGAGATTATAACACAGTACCGACAAATTTAACCCTGTGTTATTTCACGGTAGTAACTTAATTAAAAAAATTAATTTTGGTTTCCACGTCTCTTCAAAACAAAGTAATTATTATGAAATTAATTTAAAATAATCTAAAATTAGAATAGGAGGCAATATTACCTTTTACAAAAGTTTATAAATCCGTATTTTGACTAAAATACGTATTTCGCCCAATATATAGTTACTTATAATACTTATAATCTATAATTTTTTAGAAATATATAAGAAAAGTGAGATATGACATATTGAACACAATATGCAATATATTGAGAAATGCAAACATTACGAGAATTTTTCACTTTGCGCTCGTACCTCGACGGTAACCTTTCTAGGATTACTATAAGACAATTGTTCTTCCTGCAGTTAATTATTGTTAATCCAATTTTCTTAATGTTCTTAACAGTGGATTTAAATAAAAAGTTTTAAACCCCTAATTATAATTACTTTTCATTTATTTGTTAAATATGGGCCAAATGTTTTTAGTAGTTTTCTATTGAAACCACTAGAAATAAAAACATCCGATTTCATCATTTATCTTTTTTTGCTCGTTTAGACAGAGACACAGACCGTACAAAATAGCTTAGAATTTTTGTACGGATCAAAATATCGTTTTAGTTTTGATTCTTTAATTTTATGCCTGTGTCCATCGGTGAACTGGTGCAGCCAAAATCCAGAAATCATCAAATCAAAACCAGAAAAACTGGTCACATATTCATAATCACTCTTAAAAGTTTCTGCTTGTGGTTTCGGAAAAACAGGTTTCGTAAAGAAAAGTAAAACAGGATAAACTAAAGCTTGTGTATCCTGTTTTAAGGCTTTCTATTGTAACTAAGATTGAATTCTCCTATGTATTTTTTAAATACTACTGTGATTCAGTGCAAAAATTTTTAGAAGATTTCGAAGTTTTATGCAACAAATACAGGATCTTCCAATAAGGACTTTCGAACTTTGACAGTTGGTAGCAAGCATATTGTTCAAGCTACATCTGTAAAAATGGCTGTCATTTAGTCTGTGTTGCCAAATCACCATAAATGCATATATCGTACCACATATGCAAATGATAAATTTGTTTTATTAAAATGGGTATTCTGTTAGACCAACGTTCAGCGCGCTTCGCTCACTTTACGGTCACCATAATCGTCCTACACTCTGTCTGTGTTAGTTGTGGAATGAACTGAGCAACTCTACACACTATGTAGCCGGTCCCAGGCCCGGAAAAAAGAGAAGTAGAGGTAACACTTATCTAAAAAACTGATAGCACTCTGTGCGGGCTCCTTCTAGGCTTACAGGTAAAGACCATAATGGCGATTAATGTAATACACAAGCATACGGACCAAGCGAATATCGTTATAACAGGTTAGGGTGGAAGAGTTAATAAGTGGAAGGGCACTATTTGTCCTGGAATTGAGAAAGGGGGTGCGAGGGCGGAGGAACTGTAATTTTATCAACCGCATAAGTATGCATAAAGCCAAGGAGAACTACTGCATTAAGGGCCCTTTTAACACTCCTAATTTTAACGATTATGGCTATACATATTTCAAGTCATAATATTAATGACAATGGTTTTAAGAACCTAAGGTCTGGCAGGAGAGGACAATCTCAACACTGCAGTGCCCCTTAGATCGTAAAATACAAAATAAGATCAAATACATAAAGAATGCAAATCAGCATTCTCGGAATAAGTGAAATGTGATTGCCGGGATCGAGAGTATGTGATTTTGATGGATATCAACTGTATTATACCGGAAATAACGATCCTAATCACCATAACGGAGTTGCAGTCGTAGTCGCAAAGTACATAACTCAATCGGTAGTTAACTATATCCTGTCTCTGACAGAGTAGTCCGTGTGAGATTCAGTTCAAAACCGTTTCTTCTTCTTAAAGTGCCCTCTCCTCAATGGAGGTTGGCTACTACAATTTTAAACTCTTCTCTATCTTCAGCTGTTCTTATTAGCTGTTCAAAATTTAGCCCTGTCCATTGTCGGATGTTTCTGAGCCACGATAGTCTTTTCCTTCCTATGCCTCTCTTTCCCTCGATTTTTCCTTTCACTATAAGTTCGGCATATTGGTACTTATTATTTCTTAGTATGTGGCCTAGGTACAAAAACCTGTGGCCAAAATCGTTTACTACCAACGTAATTCAGGTTTATGCCCATCCAGTGATTCATCTAGCGACGAAGATGATTTATAAGCATTTTACAAAGACCTTATAGTCCACAAGACCATGGGAGATTTTTAATGGGTCATTTGACCTAGAATAAATCACATATAAAACAATACTACAATATGTAATAACAACTTTAGAAACTATGCCGTCAATTCTTATCGGTACATGTTAAGGTATGGGGGTAAGTTTTTTTTGGTCAGATATATTTGTACGGCATTAATAAACTTAGATAGGTAATACAAAAATAATGATTTGCGACCTAATGCCACACAAAAATATTGGCACCAGGAGAAAATTTTTTATTTGCGGAAAAATTTTTCCACATTTTCGGTAACTTTACACAGTACGGCATTCATACACAAAATTTCGAATCAGTATATAGATTAAGTTTTTTTGGCCATCGTCTTCCTCCGCCAAGCACGTGTTTCGATATTTCTCATGACTTCATTCGATAGCAGAGACTTAATGTGGTCGCTGCTAGGTGTCCTCAGTCTTACTATATGGTATCGAGTCTTGGACTGTGGTTCCTGGGTAAAGAAGATTTTAAACTTCATATTGCTGGAACGTCTCAGCAAGTCCACCGAGATTATAAAAAGCATCAGGAAGAGAAAGTTAGGGTATTTTGGACATGTAAAAGAGATCCCAAATATAGGTAGCTACAAAATATTATACAAGGGAAAATGAAGGGCAAACAAGGTCCAGGTTGAAGAACTTGCGAGATCGGTATTGAAATACCGATCCAAGCATGCTATTCAGGGTGGCAGTGAATTGGATTTAAATAAGTATGATAGTAACGTTCTGGGAGGTCATGGTATATAAAGAATTCCTACCGAGAATTCCATCCTTCGAAATTCCTTCCTACTCAGTGTGTGGTGGGTAAATTTGAGTTTACTGGTTCAGTAAACAATCAAAAAATACGCCAACAACTAAGGCGCAAACCACAGCGTCCCTCAAAGCCAACATAACCCATGCCATCGTCTAAAGTCTGCTTGATTTAAGCGCCAGCTATGGAAAATTTGGCATTTCGGATGCGCGAACCACCCAACGAAGCCACGGCGAACATTTGGCCGATATTATATTTCTTTATATGTCTTTCAAAGAAATAACAAAAAACTTTGATGATATGTAACATATACTTTTTTTGTTTATTATCTAGATTTAAAAGTAGGAAGCGCTTGATTAAAGTTCTATATTTAGATAACAAGAAAGCCTTTATTAACATTAAGAAATGAGTTATATCGCTTAACCACATTTACTTTCTTAGATCTTTTGCCGTAAGTCAACTACTTAGTTGGATCCGGAAACTGTTGTAAACGTAAATATTTTCGCCCCTTTAAATTTCAGTCTAATAATGTACAAACATAAGTCAAATAATAACAATTAAACAATAGTTATCAGTTAGAGCTAACATGTTAAAAAATAATAATTGCCTGTGATTTAAGAGCAAACAAGTTTATCGATAAATTCCCTCTAAGCTAAGTATATGAAGCAATAATTTAATAAAACATCAACCTTTATATTTCCTCTTTTCTTAAAAAATGGGGAAATGGGCCTAATACCCAGAATTATTATTTTTAAGTTTTTTTAACAAAATTGTTGCTCTATTGGTTTAGTTTATACGTAAAAACCATTTACCTTAATAATGTTTTATTATTACCTTTAACAGCCTTATTATAATATCAAAATAAAACCTTATTAAATATTTCATACTTTAAAAAATTTTAAATAATAATCACATTATCCTTAGGTGTTAATTTTCGAAACACTTTAAAGATTACTCTGTGGCATTGGGATAGTCTGTATTTGTTTCTACAGTGGTCGAAATGAAATCCAAAGAGAGGTTATGTCTTTTCCTTCTTCTGATCTCCGGTAGCATTGCAGAAGTATTTAAGTATGAGAAATTTCTGTTGTATTGTTTGTTGAGTCTTTGGATGAACTCCTCCTTTAAAAGCCGAAGACACCTTTTAAAATAAAACAACAAAATTAATAAACGTTTTAACATTCAATTTACTGTTTCTTATAATAACATAATGTATTTTACTATAGTATTGTAGCGAGATTAAATAAAACGAGCGGTTCGAATTTATATAAATATATTTATTTATAAGTTTACAGGTCGGTACTCTCTTATCAACTAAACTACCTCAATCACCGTTACTTATACACCGTTATATATATATATATATATATATATATATATATATATAATATATATATATATATATATATATATAAATTATTATGTTCGAGAAAATTCGGGAGTAGCCCACCTCTAATTCGTGTCGTCGAAAGCGCATCGAACACGTGCGCTATTGAAATGCCAACTCTTCGAGCTTTCTAGATTTATCGTTCTAAGAATTGTGACACATCGGAGATGGGCTATTTCGTTACACTGATCCTCTCTTAGATCTGAGCGTCCCGATCAGCAACCATATATGTATGCCCAGGATGGCGGAATCTATAGGACTCTCCAGCTCTGCATGAACCCCTCAGAAAGAAATAACAGTCTACTGTCTTTAAGGGACACGATCTCTACAGATGAGATTCCTTTAGTCATCTCAAGATCTTGGGCAACACAGTGGGCTATAGAGACGTGATGCGGAAAGACTAAAAAAGACTACAAAGATTCTGCTGAACTTCTGTCGTCACGCCGAATCCAGCACTCTTTCTCTCTACGTAATTTGACATAAAGTCATTAAAGCTTGGTCGCCGGTCACCTTTGATCTCATATTGAAGGGTTCCGGTTTCTTCTGTTTCATTTGAGCCAGCATATGGTGTAAGACGATTTATGTGAACTACTTTTGGTTTAGCTCTGGGCAACTTCTTAAATCGATATATCACGTCATTTATACTCTTTTTAATTTCATGCCGATCCTCCCATTGTCTTTTCAGTTTAGGAGACAAACCACGACGACGTTGTGGATTATAAAGCCAAACAAGATCACCTACTTCATAGCTTTCATTCTTGCATCAAGAATCGTATTGATCTTTCATTCTGTCGCTGGCTAACTGGATGTGTTGTCGGGCAAGTTCATGACTGTTGTTCATTCTTAACTTCAGGCGATCGACATAATCTTCGCTTGCAACATGTTCTTCAGAAGGTCTGCAGCCAAACTCTAGGTCGCAGAGCAAACGAACTTCACGACCTAACAACAGGCAGGTTGGAGTTTGGCCTGTAGTTTCATTTACGGCCAAGCGGTAGGCCATTAGGAATAAATGAATATGCTGGTCCCAATCTCTTTGCTGTTCTGATACAACTTTGGACAGGTGTTTACCCATCGTTCGGTTCATTCTCTCGACCATTCCATCTGATTGAGGATGCAGTGGTGTCGTTCTGGTCTTATTGACACCAATCAATTTACAAACGTTTTGGAAAAGGGTTGACTCGAAGTTTCGCCCTTGGTCGGAGTGGATCTCCAAAGAAACACCAAATCGGCTAAAGAATTCTTTAACAAGTACTTCTGCAACGGTAGCAGCTTCTTGATTTGGCATTGCGGCCTCAGTCCATTTCGTAAAATAATCCATGGCTACCAGGATATATTTTATTTCCATCATTCGTCTCTGGAAGCGGACCTGCAATGTCGATTGCTACTCTTTCCATAGGACTACCAACATTGTACTGTTTCATAGGTGCCCTCTTTTTACCACCTGGACCATTACTGGTTGCACACAGTTCACATTTCCGGCACCATCTTTTTACATCATCTTTACAGTTCACCCAATAGAACCGTTCTCGAACCTTTTGCAGAGTCTTCGTAATACCAAAGTGTCCACCTGATGCACCGTCATGCAACTGACGCAATACTTCTGACACTTTATTCTTAGGTACAATCAACTGAAGCTTAGATTCTGTACCATCATCGTTCTCAAAGGTTCTATACAGAAGATCATCTTTTAGCACTAGGCAATTCCATTGGCTCCAGTAACACGACTTCGGGACTACATGCACTAATGTCTTTCCAAGAAGGTCTTTCACTTCGACGCATCCAATCCAATACTCTTTTTATACTTGGATCATTTGCTTGAGCGTCTTGAGCGTGTTGAGGCTGCCATTGATCATTAAAGACGATGGTTCGTCTCACGGGGCAAAGTCGTTCTTCTAATTTAAGACAGTGATTACAATTTGCACTGCACGGCCGTATCGAAAGAGCATCAGCATTTAAATGGGCTCTTCCAGCCCTGTGTTCGATCTCGTAATCATATTCTTGTAATCGTTCTAACCATCTTGCCATCTGGCCCTCTGGATTACGGAATTGTAGGAGCCATTTTAGAGCAGCAAGATCCTTGCGAAGAAGAAACTTTCTGCCATACAAGTATTTATGGAAATGCTCGCAAGCCTTTACTACGCCTAGCAATTCTCTCCTGATAACGAAAATTTATTTCTGGTTTCGACAAGACGACAAAGTAAGCGATGACTTTCTCCTGCCCATCTTGGATTTGGGAGAGAACAGCTCATATTGCACTGTTGCTTGCATCGGTGTCCAACACAAATTTTCCTGCCTGTCTAGGGTAGCTTAAAATCGGCGCGCTGATCAGAGCCATTTGTAAGTGTTCGAAAGCTCTTTGACACTCTTCACTCCATGTATATTCTTTGCCTTCTTCTGTCAACTTTATTAATGGCTTGGAGATGTTGGCAAACCCTTTGACAAAACGTCGGTAATATGTACATAGGCCAAGAAAACTTCTAATTTCGTGTTTATCCCTTGGTACTGGCCAATCCTTAATTGCTGCAAGTTTTTCAGGATCAGCTGTTACACCACTACCTGCTACAATATGTGCCAAGTCTCGTCGAAACAAGTGACATTTCTTCGGACTCAACTTCAAATTCGCTGCCCGCAATCGTTGAAAGACTTCTGTCAGATTATTGGCATGTTCATCGAAGGATCTTCCAACTACAATTACATCATCCAAATAAACCAGGCATGTTTTCCATGTTAGACCTCTTAAAACTGCCTCCATTAATCTTTCAAATGTTGCCGGGCATAAACCAAAGGGCATAACTGTGAACTGCCAAAGCCCTGATCCTATCGAGAATGCGGTTTTCTCACGATCAGCTGGCTCCATGTCTACTTGCCAATATCCACTTTTCAGATCGAGTGTGGAGAACCAACGAGAACCAGAAAGTGTATCCAAAGTATCGTTTATTCTGGGCAAAAGATAACTATCTTTTTTAGTTACCGCATTGAGCTGTCTACAAAAACGTGTTGAACCATCTTTCCTCTTTACTAGCACTACTGGTGATGTCCATGGACTGTTTGTTGGTTCAATTACCCCTTGTTTGTTCATATCTTTGATGATGTCTTCGGCTTCATCTCTTTTCGCAAATGGAAGTCGTCTAGGTTGTTGTCTGATTGGCTGAGCGTCTCCAGTATTAAATTTATGCTTTATTATGCGTGTTTTGCCATTATCCTTCTTATCAATGGTAAAAACATCTTGAAATTCTATCAGCATAGACTTCACTTTTTTTAGTTCGTTCATCATCAAGATCTTGGCACGTTTTAATCATTGTCTCAACAAGCTCCTTTGGATACTTAGATTTCGACGATTTCTCATTAGTATTCGTGGAACAAATCGAAGAAACGGGAACACACTGTCCGATCAAAGTTCTTTTACTTAACTTAATAGCAAATTAGTATGCACTAAAAAAGCCAAAATACCGTCATATGACGTAGGAACTAGTAGCTGATAAATATAATATACATGTGAATGAAGAGTTTGTTAAAAAATTTAAATCATATATTAAGAAAATCATCACCTAACGTAATTTCACTAATATATACTTGAAATTTTTATTAAACTCTTTACTACTTTCAAATTTGTATTAAATCTTTCAAATAACCACTTTGGATTACGACTTTTAAATATCATACTTGTCACTAAATTGATTTAATTTACACAGATTTTTCCAACAAATTTCAAACACTTTGAGAGGTTTGTATACAACGCGTGTAACACAATGACAAACTAATAAATGCCAATTAGGCCCAACCTACAACTAAACAGAATGCCAGAAACAGACAGACTTATACAGAAGTAAAATGCTTCACACTTGTATTTAGGTATATACTTAGGTAAATGTGAAGTGTTTTACTTCTGTATAAGTTTTTTAAACGATGGTATATAGCCAACTACTGGGATTTTCCCATTAATTTTTATATAATGTTTTGTTATGAGAAGCCATAATTTTTGAATTCATATTAAAAAGAATTCATAAAATAGTATTTTTTACTTTAAATATAGCTAAGTATTTAGTGTATTCTTATGTTTAACCTAATTATTTTATTTCCATTTAACTTTACTTTATTCAGTAGTTTTTAAAGTTTCTAAACTATTAATTTTTACCTTAAGCATAATTTTAATGGTTTTTATTATATAAGTATTTTAAATGTAAGATATAATTTTATTTTATAATATTTATAGGTATAATTTTAAAGCTTTTAATTATATATGCATTTTTCACGTTTTTGTTTAATTATATATTATGTATTTTTCAATTTTAAATTTTCATTTCATATATATAAATCTTGCCCATAATTTTATATATGAGAGTGTGAAATAATTGAGTATATGTCAACACTGACGTATATTAAGCTTACATTTAACGTCAAGCATATCTATAGGTTATGTTCATTGCACGAAAATTAAATTTAACCCAAATAACACAAATTACTACTGGCAGCACTACTGGCCAACACCGTTCACACGGCACCAATTGTCGCGACAATTGAGATTTCGAGTGGTGGAGGGGCTAACTGGGCGCAGCTCATTGTCCTCAGTCTACTCCCGGAGCCAACTGAATTTTGGGCCAATTGTGAGGACAGTTGGCAAGGCAATTGGCCTGAAGTGTTTACACGAAGACAATAATTTCATGCTAGTCAGTTGTCTTCTGACAATTGTCTCGCCAATTGCCATCGTGAAAACGCGGCTTTATAAGTGGTGAAGATTTTAAAGTTTGTAAGGAGTTCTTTAAGAAGTTGCTTAAGGTATCTGATGGAAGACTTACAACAGTATTACGTAGAAAATGTCATGAAACATCTCCAGTTGATAAAAGAGGAAAACATGTTCCACATAATAAAACTAGTGTAAATAAAATAAATGAAGTGAAAGCATTTATCGAAAAATCTTTCTCCAGAGACTCCATATACTTTGCATAAAAACTCTAATAGAAAATTTCTATCTCCAAACTTATGTATAGCTAATATTTATGAGCTATATAAAGAAGAAGTGGATCAACCAGTAACACGCTGGGTCTTTACGTCTTCAACAACGAGTTCCATTTGCATTTCATGTCCCTATACCAGAATCATGCAAAAAATGTGATAGTTTTGAACTGAAGATAAAGAGCTTAACAAACTAAGAGGAAATAAAACAATCTAAAGTCGGAAAAGAACTACATCAGAGAAAAGCCAAATCTGACAGAAATAGTCTAAGAAATGACACTAGTTTAGCCAAGTTTAGTAGTAAACTCGTGACAACGATCACTTTTGATTTGATGCATACGTTCCCAACACCTGTGTTGACAACTAGTGTATGCTATTATAAAAGGCAACTTTGGACTTTTTTTGGCGTCCACAAAATGGGTTCAGGTAAAGTTTATATGTTTCTATAGAATAAATTAAAACTGGTTAAAAAACCCACACAAAGTAGAATTGATATTAAGAGATTAAGGGAACCACAAACAAAGGAACAAACTGTAAAAACTCTTACTGAAAATATACGTAATGCCCAAGAACTGAATAAAAGTAGCTATAACATTGATCAGAAATGGGAAAATATAAAAGCAGCAATAATTAAAACAGCAAATGAAAACTTAAAACCAAAGAATAGAAAACATAAAGATGGGATGACTGAAGAAATACTACTATTAATGAATGAAAGAAAATCATTCAAAACAAAAAATCCAATTAAATATAATGAAACTGATCGATTAATAAAAAAGAGAATAAAAGAAGCTAAGGAGAGAATGTTACATGAGCAGGGCCAAGAACTAGAAGAAATTGAGAAAAAATATGACTTTTTTAACATGCATAAAAGAATTAGAGAATTAACAGGAATGAGAAAAACACTTCAAACTAGGCAACTAAGAGATGAAAGGGGTGCACTTATAACAGATATAAACCAAAAAATGCAGAGATGGACACAATATATAGCACAACTATTTGAAGACAAAGAGAGAACAGAAGCACCAAAAGAATTTAAGGGTGATACTGGGCCTGACATTATACGAGAAGAAATTGAGTATGCAATGAAACAAGCTAAAGATGGTAAATCTCCCGGGCCTGATGAAGTTCCTATCTAATTACTTAAAATTGTGAATACTGAATCTATTGATCTTCTTTTGGATCTATTCAATACCATATATAGAACAGGTATAATACCTAAAGAATGGCTCCAATCAACATTCATACTGCTTCCCAAAAAAGCCAATGCAAAGGAGTGCAATGAACATCGCACCATAGCCTTAATGAGTCATGTCTTGAAATTGTTTTTAAAAGTAATTCACAATAGAATACATAAGAAAATAGATGAAGGCATAAGTAATACACAAATGGGATTTAGGAAAGGACTGGGAACACGAGATGCACTGTTTGCAGTAAGTGTTCTTTCGCAGAGATGCTTAGATATTAATCAGGAAGTATATGCCTGTTTCATTGATTTTGAGAAGGCATTTGACAGAGTGCAGCATAATCGACTTAAAGAAATTTTATTAAATAAAAACATAGACAGTAGAGACATTAGAATCATCTGTAACCTCTATTGGAATCAAACAGCAAAAGTGAAAGTTGAAAACGAACTGACCAAGGATATCCAGATTCGCCGTGGGGTCCGCCAAGGGTGTATTTTATCACCCTTGTTATTCAATTTATACAGTGAAGCCATCTCAGAATTAGCGCTTGCCGAGATCAGTGAGGGCCTTATAATAAACGGTGAGCCACTTAATAATATAAGATATGCTGACGACACCGTCCTTTTGGCAGGAACACTAGAAGAACTGCAAAACCTTGCTGAACAACTAAATATATATTGCAATGATTATGGACTAAAAATCAATTTGAAGAAAACCAAGTTCATGGTATTTACAAAAGCACAAAACATCAAAGTTAAGCTAGTACTAGATAATACAGAAATTGAACAAATATCTTCGTACAAATACCTTGGAGCATGGATCACAGAAGATACTGATCAGACAAAAGAAATAAGATGCCGCATTGAAATTGCGCGGTCAACTTTTAATAGAATGAGAAAACTTTTTTGTAATCGCGATATCAATATATCGCTCCGGATAAGAATGCTTCGATGTTATATTTTCTCTACCCTTTTGTATGGAGTTGAAGCTTGGACACTTAAAAAATCCAACATTAAAAACCTAGAAGCATTCGAAATGTGGTGTTACCGACGCATTTTGAAAATATCATGGATGGAAGTTTTAAATTCCATAAAGATCAGGAAATTGGAATACTTGGGGCACATCATGAGAGGTGAAAAGTACGAACTACTAAGGAATATAATGCAGGGTAAAATCAAAGGTAGAAGAAGCGTAGGAAGACGTAAAATGTCGTGGCTACGCAATCTCCGTGAGTGGTTTGGATGCAGTTCAATTGAACTATTCAGGCGAGTAACCAATAAAATTATAATTGCCAGAATGATTTCCAATCTCCGATAGGAGTGGAACTTGAAGAAGAAGATGGAATAAATAAATTGCTTCCAAAGGCCCACAGGAAATAGGATCTTGTTTACTATGTTAGATAAAACACTTTGTTTCTACAAAAAAACTGATAATGTATTCTGATCAATGCAGTGGACAAAACAGGAACATAAAACCAGCTACATTATGTAAACTTATTATTAATGATCCAACAAATCCTATTGAAGCAATTGATCACAGGTTCTTAGTGAGTGTACACTCATACTTGCTATGCGACGAAGATTTTAGATTGGTCAAAAGTTCTATAATGACATTTACGTTCCTAGTAATTGGAAAAAAGTAACTAACTCAGCAAGAAAAACAAATCAATTTATCATAGTGGATATGCAATCCAAAAACTTTTTTCCACTTTGGAATTGGAAAAAATATAACCAATCAAACAGTATCCTTGAGTGGGAGTAAGGTACAGTGGCTTAAAATAAAGTGGTTGCAATATGAAAAAACAAAGCCATTTATGTTTAACTACAAATAGTCTAACAATGAGTGAGTCTCATAGTTAGTCATCATCATTAGTCATGAGTGAGTCAGAATAGTCTAACAAAAGAAAGTATTTTGACTTTGAAAACCCTATATTCATATGGTAATTCTAAAGCTGAGGCGAAGAAAGATTTATTATAACTGCCTCCAATACACCATGAATTCTACAAAAAACTAAAAACTTCTATTGTTGCAAGGGATATTACATGAGTTAAGCTAGTAGAAGATGGTTAGGTTTACAAAAAGCAAAAACTGTTAAGTTTACAGTTTGCTTAAAAAGAAATAAATTGTATGGCAAATTCTTGCTATTTTAACTTCTATAATCAATTTTACTACAAAGTGTAAACTCACGTAGAACAGTTTAGACATCAAAAAGTTGGCAAATTTTAAAACCGTTTTATCTCCATTTAACGTTTTTGGGGTTAGACCAGTCTGGCTCTGAGAGCCTCAACTAATTTCTAAGAACATTGTCACCATTTAGGTCACCAGAAAATTCAAGGTTGTATAGGTATTAAAAAAGTATCATATATATATATATATATAATATATATATATATATATATATATATATATATATATATGATACTTATATATATATATATATATATATATATATATATATATATATATATATAAATATATAACGCTTTGGCCTTGACGGTTTAAAATACTATTAAACATTTATTTTAAGAAAGAATCCCATAAGAGCGATCATAGAAGAAACTCCACCGAACCACAGGAAGAGACCCTTCGTTGCCCTTAGGAAGCTGAGAGATAGAAGATGGCCAAAAATGGCAGGGGATCGATCTTCTTAAGGTCAGATAGTTGGTCAGACAAGGTTTCAATATGGTCTGTAGCGCGGTGAGGTAATTAAATACATTAGAAAGTACTTTAAAATCTTTAAATGTTTTAAGCATTTAAGAATTAAAACTAAAGTTTCACTTTGGGAATCAGTTGTATTAAAGTTTACAAGCGTATAAAATTAGAGGTAACTTTTTTGAGGAATAATACTAGTTAAAATGTATCTTATGCTTCCTGTTGTACTTACAGCCTGTATACAGAAGACGTCCTAAACCTTCCTAAATCTAAACTTGGAGTGTGCGGTTTATGAATAATAAATACATCTGGTAACACTATAAATTCATAACTTTGAGCTTCTAGTTCCATTATATGTGAGACTTTGTTCCACCCGAAGCCTACAAATTTTTCATCGTATTGCACCACGTCATTTCTAACTATGATATAGGGTTCGTAGTCGACTTCCCATTTTACCTTAAAATATAAAAACTGTACCGAGTCGTCGACAAAATTTTTAATTAGAGTAGTGTGTCGAATTCACATTTAAATGACGCTAGTTGGCAATCTAGCTATCTCACAAATAATAAATGTTAGTACATGAAAGAACATTGTAAAATAACAGGTTATTGTCTATATTATTCTGTGCAAGTGATTAAAATTTCAAACCACGACACTTTTATTGCAGAGACTAGTCTAATTAGAATTTTATCGATGACTCTTTAATTTATTCTTAATTCAATCATAATATTATATTACCTTGTATGGTTTGGTACTGTTCTTCCAAATATTATACATCGTTGGAGAATGACCTGGAGCCCAAATATTAGACAAAAATGGAGTGATCGATTTGTCGTTTATTCTTAGCAAAAGTTCACTTTTTTCTAATGGTATCTGATTAACGTATTTCTGAATTTCAAAAGCAGGTACTATTAATGCCTGTGAAAAAAATGAGATATAAACTATTATTTATAAACCAATTAAGTATTTATATTTTCAATTATAGATCTTAATCGAATCAATAACAAATAACTCTTAAACAAATATGTTAAAACTTCCAGGCGAATCGGAATTCATTTCCGTTGCCAACAGTTGCTAAGATCTATGGTTGATATGGTTTATCCGCGATCTGTTTCTTCTGCGGTTTTTACTCACGTTGGCTTGGTTTCTACCGAAGATATAATCGTGGTTATTGATAAAAACAAGATCCACAGATCTTGACAGAAGCAATTCCGGGCAGAAGCTTCAAACGACATTGGAGGTATTGTTATAAAAGCATTTACTTTGAAAACAATACTGTGATAAATGCCTGCATCAATTTATTTGGGATACACAACGTCAAGTCATGATCTGTAAAGGGAGTTTTCATTAAAGCACTACTTTATTAGAGACTCAAGATTAAAATTTATATGAACTACCTGTACTGAGTCATAATAGTACAGTGAGTAGTGTCTGGGAGGTCAGGAGACTGAGACAATCGGAAGCCCTAAAGAGGCCATCAGAGAAGATGTCGAAAACCCATCAACCAGGAAGACTGGTGATGTAAATATTAATTTTTGTTAAAATATTAATCTTAGTTTTAGGTTTAATTGTACAAACCGCAGAAACCTTTCCGAACCTATATATATAAATATATATATATATATATATAATATATATATATATAATATATATATATATATATATAAATATATATATAATAATTAGCACAATATAGTCCAATGAAGTCGGCTCCATAATTGAAACTATTTTGTTTTTAGTTTTATGAAAAAAAGTTATTCTTTATAAAAAGTTCTGCATGTTCTAAAATTTAAAATGCAATAAAATATTAGATTTTCAAACCGTTTTCGCTATCAGACTATCACCAGTAATTCTTGTACACGTGCCAAAAGCCACCTATAATTAGGTATAAAAAAACCTTTGCTTCACCTAATCAAACTTATTTGACGAAAAATTTTTTATGATATTTACGCTTTTTGAATAATTTTACAAAAAAAATTATTATACCAATTACAAAACAGAAGTCTCTACACTTTCTTTTAATATGTTAGATTTAGACAACCGCGAAAATTAAAAATAAAAGAATATATGAAATTAAAAGTATGGAGTGGCTTGTTCGCACATGAATTATACTGAATACGTGTGGACCCTCCAATCCACCCTCATTAGAACATTTGGTTAAGTTATTAATTTAAGTGACTATATCCCAGAACTTTATCAATAATGATTACAAAGCCTTTCAAATAGAGTAACATGTAATAAATAGGGTGGTAATGAATTTGGTTTAATGTTTCATTTCTCACTTTATATTAATAACAAAAATATTGCTTTTGTTATTTTCGCAGTTTTGTATAGTAACTGAACGCCAATTCAAGAATGTCAGTGATTACAACAGAATTTTCTTTAATATTAACTCCTGGTGGTTACAATTTAACAATTAAGTAATATCCGCTCTTTATGCAATATTCTTTTAATGACCTTGGTGTAATAAAACAAACTTGTTGTTTTATTAATTAAGTAGGTTGCACTAATTCAAACCCGCATTACGTTGACATGCAAAAATAAAAATATTTATAAATATATGTTAGTATTTTGACCCACATTTCGTAAACTTTAATGCAGTTCATATTTAATGATATAATTAAAAGAATATATAGAGGTTTTGATATATTGATAAGTTTCTAGACAAATTAAAATACAGAAAAAAAAACGTAATAATACAATATGCGAAAAACACATGTTAGGTGTTAGTCCAACTAACACTTGGAAACAGATATCCTGTACTAATTTTTTCAGTTACTGGTCGCTATTCCAATCTATTTTGTTCACCTGCTAGCATTTATTATTTTCACATTTCCAGTCCGTTTCCAATTTAACTCAGTATTCAATTATATCATATAGTTGTCTTATAGTATATTTTCTGTTCAGGTTGTCAATAAAATTAAATATGTATTTAATTTTATAATTTCAGTTTTCTTACATAGAACAACCTACATTTTAGTATTGTAACCAAATGATATTTTATAATACTTCATTATTTATTAAGCATTTTCTATACTTATCCGCTTTAATTTGTGAGTTATTCGTAATTTTTTGTGCCAAACATTAATTGCAACAAAAATTATGTGAAAGTTTATCAGGTTGGCCCTGAAATTAATGAATCAAAACAAATTTAAAACAAAATACATTATATTCTAGACTGGTCCTAAATTTGTTAGTATTGGATGATATCAAAATACCTAAGTAGTTAGGATTGTTGATGTGTAAAATATTAATAAAAACATAATATTCTACATAGTTGCCTACGACTTTGACACTAAACTTGCTTAAAAGTTTAACATTAGACTATTTTTATAGTTCCTGTTGCTTTGTTACTATTAATAAGATGAATTTTTTAACGCAGAACATATTGATATAGCTTTTAGCCAGGAGGGAATAACAAAAACGTGCCACTAGTAACAAGAATTTATCATCAGCAATTACCAGATAGGCGACCAACCAAGTCGTTTGGTTGAGAGAAGCTTTTCAAAGTTAACTAGAATAGTTTCAACGAACAAGATACGTAAATTACGAAAAACCTGATTGAACAAAAATTATTTTTCTGAAGAAAATGAATCCGCTTATTAGTACAAGAGAAATTAGTGACCGTAGTAAAGGAAGAATTTAAAAAAAGAACAAGATGCATTCATGTCGTGCACAGTTGCGTCAAGAACTTAATGAGGATAACCATAATAAAAGAGTAAAATTTTGTAGGAGGTTGCAGGAACAAATTGATGCAGAATGATGCATATTTCTTGGAATACGTTTTATTTGGAGGTGAAGCTACCTTCTACAAGAATGTTATTGCAAAAGGAAATAAATTAGATTATTATATATTAGATACTCCACTTCGAATTTACAAGAAAAATTTTGCAAACAGTCAAACAACACGATTATTAAATGTTTGGGCTGGAATTTCTGGAAATTAGGTCATACGACCTTTATTTTGCCCAAAATTATTTTAAGAAGTACTGTTGAAAATATATGTGAGAATGTGTATATGCAAGGAAAGGAGCGAGAAGGTAGCCTTAATCATCTTCAAAGTTAAGCAACCTAGATTTTATTTTCTAGGGTTAAATAAAATATAAGGTACCACCTACAACTAAAGAAGAAATAAATGAGAAAAATAGAAATGAATACATGAGATTAAACAAAAATGTATTAACTAATGTAAATGGCTGTTTTGAAGATCGCTTGCAATTATGTATTGACGACGACGAAGGCTATTTTAAACATTTATTATAAATTCAATGGTTTTTGTGTTATTTTTATTAAGTAAATATTTAGTTTTACATTAAATTTAATTTGTAAATTAGACAGCTCCATGGATGCACAATCTTCCAATATTCAATACAGGTTTATGCAGATTCGACAAAACAGAAACCCCAAACTTAATCCTTAGAAAATCCTTCCAAAACATCCTTAACTTAACACAATTTGATGAAATTTTATACACCGATGCGTCCAAGAATGAAGACTGTTGTGGCTCCGCTGTGTCCACACTGACGACGACAATAAGCTCTGTGCGATTGCCTAAAAGTTGTAGTATCTATACCGCAGAATTATATGGAATACTCCAAGCATTAAAGACTTCAATCCGTCCTACTTCAAATGAAAGCATAAAAATCGCCATTTGCACTGATTCTCTTTCCTCGATTTATTCAATAAGATGCATTTTCTCGAAAAACCCACTAGTCCAGGAAATCCACACTATCTGTAACCAACTATATTCTGCTAACATAAAAGTCATAATGATCTGGACTCCATCTCATGTTGGTATATTGGAAAACGAAAAAGCAGACCAAGCCGCTAAAGCAGCATGTTCTTCTGACATAGCCTTCCAAGAGGTCCAAATCCATACGGATCTTAAAATATTGATAAAACAAAAAATCCTCAGTTCATGGGCGGACCTGTGGAGTAAAACAAAAACTAAGCTCCATGAAGTTCAGCCCAACTTATCTCACGTCAATATCTCCTCTATGAACAGGAAAGAAAAATCAGTTATTCACCCACTACGAATAGGGCATACACGCCTCACTCATGGATACCTTATGGCATCAGAAAACCCTCCAGTATGCCACTACTGTAATAACGTCCTTTCCATCAAACACGTGATAGTGGACTGCTGCCAGTATGACTCTTCCAGAAACAAGCACAGCCTAAAAGGAAATCTAAAAGACATTTCTCAGTGTTCCAAACCGTTTTGACAGTGTTCTTAGATTTTTAAAAGAAACAAGTTTATTTCAGCTAATATAAACAGTGCATAGTGATAAGCTTTATTGTTCTAACCTTTCTATAAAAAAAAAAAAATGTTCATATTAAATTCTTGTACCTATACTTATATAAAATATGTATAATGTTGTAAACTACTGTACCCGTGTCAATGACCATAAGCTGTCGAGACACGTTCATTTAAAAAAAAAAAAAAAAAAAAAAAAAATTGTAAATTGATCGTCATTTTTATCTTCTTGAGTAGTTTGATATATTATTAAATATTACAAAATTTAGGATTGGTCTAGATTATTATGTATTTTTTCACAGCCAACCTAATAAAATGTCATCTAATTTTTGTTGCAATTCATGTTTGGCACAAAAAATTACGAATAGCTCACATATTAAAGCGGATAAGTATAGGAAATGCTTAATAAATGAACTTGCGCTGAACCCCGGCAACCTGAGCAACTATGTGAAAGATTGTGGTAACCATCTCCAGTTGGAAGCAGAGTCAGGCAGACGAGAGCGGGAGAAATGGTCCTTCGAAGATTCGGGATTGGGCAAAATGTTAACGACCTCTTCCCTTAAAAAAACTTATTGTTATGAAAGCACAAAAAAGAAAAGCCGGACTGTTTAATTCACGACAACCTAGCAAACGACAAGGGAATAACGATTTACGGATGTGCACACGGAACGTACGAACTCTTTATGCCCCAGGTGCTCTTAAATTGTTAACACAAGAACTAGATAAAATGAAAGCCGATATAATAGCGATTCAAGAGATGAGATGGACTGGTTCAGGAATTAGAAAAACTACAATATAATGTATACTATAGCGGATAAAGCTGAAATATAGGAAAAGGCGGTCAGGGATGACCAAATAGACAACAGAGGAAACATTTTTAATAAATCATCTCAAATTTTGGCATACGCAGATGATGTTGACCTAGTTACAACACGCAAACTAGAAGAAATGTATACCACCTTGTCAAATGCTTCAAAAAATATGGGCCTGCCAGTAAATGAGGAGAAAACTAAGATAATCGCATCAACACCCAACAATAGAGCCAGAAACATCGGCCACCAATTCACTGTTGATAACTCTACCTTTGAAGTGGTGGACAAATTCACATACTTAGGCTCCCTGATCACCAAGGAGAACGTCATGACGGAAGAAATCAAGCAAAGAATAATCCTAGCAAAGAAATGCTATTTTGGATTGAGTAGACATATGAGAAGCAGAAACTTAAGCCAAAAAACAAAAATAACCATATACAAAACTCTTATACAACTAGTGTTGACATATGGATCGGAGACATGGACCATCTCCAAAGCAGATGAAAACCTCCTGCTTATATTTGAACGAAGGATTCTAAAAAAGAATATTCGGTGGCATCTGTGAAAATGGTGTTTGGAGAAGGAGGTACAATTACGAGATATATCACAGATATAAATATATATTTGGTGGTAAAGACGTAGTATCTCTTATAAAAATAAGAACGCTAAGATGGGCAGGACATCTGGCAAGATCACAGCAGAACAACTCTCCTAGAAGAATCCTTATGTCACAACCTGTAGGAAGTAGAAGTAGGGGTAGGTCAAAACTCAGATGGAGGGATGATCAGTATTAAAGACACACAAGAGTTGGCACCTGTCTTTCGAAGAAAGTTTGTCGAGTTCCAAGAACTGCAATGCCAACTGCAATGACACTGCCCATGACCAATCCAACTACCAAAATGTATGGGGAGCATTACTTCAATTTATTTATGACTAATTCTATACAAACTATATTTGTCAGAAAGAAAATAAAGAATTTGAATTTGAATTCAGAAAGCACGTACTGAATTGCAACGTACAAAAGTTAGCCATGCCAAAGCTAGAGTGTTGCCAATTAGATTGGAGAGTTGTCCGAAATATGGTGGACACCGAAGTCCAAGTGCCAAGCGCAAACCGTCTCACAGATATAAATATATATTTGGTGGTAAAGACGTAGTATCTCTTATAAAAATAAGAACGCTAAGATGGGCAGGACATCTGGCAAGATCACAGCAGAACAACTCTCCTAGAAGAATCCTTATGTCACAACCTGTAGGAAGTAGAAGTAGGGGTAGGTCAAAACTCAGATGGAGGGATGGTATAGATAAGGATGGTAGAAAAATAGGCGCAGCAAACTGGCATCAGCAATGGATAGAACTGACTGGCGTAATAGACTTGAGAAGGTCGAGGCTCTTTTATAGGGCTGTAGCACCAATGATAGTCAGTAAAAAAGCAAAGCAAATAGTCCCCAACTTTAAACCCATAAACAAGTGTACACGCACCCACGGAAGAAAAGAAAGACGACGAAAAAGATAAAAACACAATGAATACACGTCATGACGTGAAAGTAATTGGTGGGGACCTTAATGCAAAAATTGACAAAGAGCCTAATAAAAGAACAATATGAAAAACTTTTCAAAATTTTCATATTGTTCTTTTTAGATGAATTGATGATGCTTTCTGATTGGAAGGCGAAACGTCTTCAATAAATAGATAATGTAGGCTTTTGTGACTAGGTGAGCATTAATCATATAGATGTATTGGGTTTTGAGTTCATTCATTCCCAGCAAACTTTCTGAACAGACTTATTTTTGCTGTTTCAAAAATCAAAACGACAGATCAAACAAAGGTCTCAACTAACAACCAACGAATGGTGTACCACTCTATACCATATATTCCGGGCTTAGCAAATAAATTTTTAAATACATTTAGACATGTACCGAATATCAAAATTGGAACTAGAAATATAAAAACGGTATCTAAGTTACACACTAAACTAAAAACACAGTTAAACAAAACAAAAAATAATTAAAGAACTACAGAGCCATAACTATACTGAACGTTAAGAATAAACTGCTAACTAAAATTTTAACGAGGTTAACTTCAAAATTAGACAAGTACCAGTCACAAGGCCAGGCTGGATTTACAAAAGGATTTAGTACAAGAAATCACCTCTTAACTATAAAACCATTAATTGAAAAATCGTTTAATAAATGAATAAGGTAGCATTCGTGAATTTTGAGAAAGCATTCGTTATAGTAGAATGTTGGGCAATAATAAAGGCCTTACACAACGGAAGAATTGATTATGGATATATACCTTATACCTATTATACATGACAAACCAACAATATCGTCAGGTTTTGAAACAAATTTAGCCAATTAAAATAAACCGAGGAGCCATACACAGAGATACCACGTTACCAAACTGTTTAACCAGCGCTCGAAGATAAACTTAAAAAACTAGAGTGGGGAAACTGTAGTATTAATATAAACGGTCAATACCTAAACCATTTATAATATACTGATAACATAAGGCTCATGTCTAGTAAAACGAAGAATTGCAAAAATTATTGAAAAGTTGAATAACAAATCAAGAAAAATCGGATTAAAGATTAACTGTGATTAAATTAAAACTATAACCAACGAAAACGAATACCTAAATATTATAGTAAACAAACTTAAAACAAGTAAATGAATATGTATATTTCAAAAGACAGATGCTAAACGGCTAGATTCGTAGTAGCACCAAAGTAAAAGACGTCTCGAATCAAGTAGCAAAAATAAATGCAAAAATTACAAGCTAAACCGAGGGATGCAAATGGCGAAAGATTAAGACCTCCAGAAATACGTGGGCAAGGCGTACGCCCAAAGATGGATGTTCTTGGCTTATTAGATGGATATAGGTCAAATATCTACTATTTACACAGGATAAATAATAAAAGCTTAGAAAATGAGAAAGAAATATGTGGATACCATTTACACAAATGATAAAGAAGAAATCCTCCTCACTACAATAGATGTAGAAAAAGCGAAAAAAGGAAAAATAAAAACGTAATAGAACCAGACGATTCCTTATTATATATATATATATATATATAAATATATATATATATATATATATATATATATATATATATATATATATATATTATTGATTACACTATAGGATAAAAAAAATGTGAAATATATTGAAAATAAAAAAACAATCTTATCTTCAATCAATAAATTCAATCAAAACAATCAATTATCTTTGATTATCTTCCTTCCTATTTACTTACCTTTTTCTTTAATGGACTGTTCACTGTAATATGTTTAATTAAAGATTCATACAAATCTTTAGATGGAAGGAAATCTATATCGGCTAGAAATACAAAAGGACTTTGTACGTTCGCTAAGCCAATGTTTCGTAATATATTAATGGGATAGAAATCCTAAAATAAGCAAACAATAATAAACGAGTAAGACAAAAACAATTTTACAGTATTACCCCATCTTTGAATACTGCGTGATAAGCAACATTCCATCTATCTTTCAGTACATCCGAATTTGTTATGAAGTTGATGCTTTTCATTAACTCGGAATCAGATACGTATAACGTTAAGCTCATGGGGCCTGAAAGACAAATTAATTATTTATTATGTAATTAATAAAGCGATATAGTGGAGTATCAACGGACTCGACAGAATTCTTGAGCATGTCTAACAAGTCTAACGTTTGAAGTCGACTAGATGTTGCAAAAAAGTGTATGTTTTGGACTCTCGCTTTGACAATCCACATATTTATGTCCTAAAGGAACTATATAGAGTGGAACAGTCAAATGGAATAAATTCGGTAATAAATAAATAGGACCGTGTTCAAATAACGCTCAAACACGTCGATTAGTTACGCATTTTTTGAAATATAAACTTTTCGTACAGGATTTGTCATGTAACAGTTTACATTCGTACAGGGTTTGGATTCCTCAGAATATTCTGGACATATCTTATGTACAATGTTCTGTACTTAGTGTTCCACCTGTGATAGAAGTTACCAGAACCTAGGATTTTGTCTAGACGCGATGGTGTCGCTCTTTCTGACATGATCGAGATACGTCGATCGAAGGTCAAACCGTTGTTAACCTAACCGTTGTTTAATATTGTTCTGAAGCTATTTTCTTGTGGCATTTTAAATTAATTACTATTTAACTGGGAATAAGCCACAATTAAAGGTAAAAATACGTTTATTGACGTTTCAGTTTCCACTTCGGAAATCGTTCTCAAAATACAAACAATAAATGTATTTTTACCTTTAATTGTGGCTTATTCCGAGTTAAATAGTAAGTAACCGTTGTTACCGCTGTTACCGCATACCGCAAAAGTGTGAGAACCTTCAACCAGCCCATGGGTCTCTCCGGTGGTCCTGGTCAAGAAGAAAGACCGAAGGACGAGCTTCTGTGTGGACTACCGTTTGTTGAACAATGTTACCAATAAAGATAGTTATCCTGTGTCTCGAATTAACGACACGTTGGGTACATTGGCTGGAATTAAATTGTCCACACCACAGGATCTGGATTGTGGCCATTCAACGTGATGACATTTGGACTCTGTAATTATCCTGCAACATTTGAGAGGCTTATGGAATATGTGTTGAGGGAATTATATTGAAAAATGTCCCTGCTTTATTGAGATGGCATAATCGTCTTGGGGAAGACTTTTGAAGATCGTATGAAGAATTTAAAAAACGTTTTTAATCGACTTAAAGCTAGCCAATTGATGTTGAATCCCAATAAGTGCCAGCTATTTCAAAGTAAAGTTAATTATATTGATCATATAGTCAGCAAACAGGGAGCGAAAGTCAAGAAAAGAAAAAGAAGAAAAAGTTTGCAGATATCGCTAAACCATTAAAGCGACTAACAGAGCAAGCAAGAGATTACTGTTGGGTTAGAGACTGGTAAACTGCCTTTGAAACCTTGAAGAAGCGTTTAATCACAGCATTAATATTAGAATATATACTGCCAGGAAAGTTTATCTGAGACACAGATGCAAGTAATGTGGGAATTGGAGGAGTGCTATCTCAAATTCAATGAGGACAAGAATAAGTCATTGAATATTTTAGTAAAGTGCTTTCAAAACGTGAGCGAAATTATTGCGCCACCAGAAAAGAACTTCTAGCAGTAGTAAAATCAGTAGAATAATAAATTCCGTTCTTCGCAATCGCCTACAGATCCGCTGTTAATGAATCAACGGGCCATACACCAGCCAAAGTGCTATTTGGACGCGAGATACAACTACCTTGTGATCTAGAGTTTGGATGTCGTCCTGGCGAAGATATAGCTGGTAAAGATTATGTGAACGAATTGAGAAGAAGAATGGACCATACACACTAGTTGGTCCATTCCCATCTTCAGATCGCTAGCGACCGAATGAAGAAACCACACGATACCCAAGCCGAAAAAGGATGTTTTAAGAAGAACGACAAAGTAGTTGTTCTGGGAAGGCCGTACCTCATTATGGAAAAGATTAACGTTATCTACCGAATAAGTAAGATTTCGACTGGCTGGCATCATTCTAAGGAGACTACGACGTAGATGAAGAAGTTCTTCTTCTTCTTCAGATGCAAATCCACTAATGGATGTTAGCGATCACATTTTCCATTAACTCTCTATTTCTTGCAATATGTATCAGAGATTGTATGTCGTTAATCCCTGTCCATTGCCTTATGTTTCGGAGCCAGGACATTTTCTTGCGTCCCATTCCTCTCTTGCCTTCAATTTTACCCTCGATTATAAGTTGGAGGAACTGGTATTTTTCATTTCGCATGATGTGACCTAGATACGCCGTTTTCCTTGATACGCCGTTTTCCTAAAAATGAAGAAGTTGGAGTAAACTAAGTCCAAAAATTATCTGACCTTACGTTTGAAAAATTCATGGGGGCCTATAGAGGTACCGGTAAAGCAACATATGGTGTTACCATTGAAGAAAAGCAAGATCTACTCGCACTTCCAGATGGCCACTCACTGGCCCATACCATCCCGGTCAGTATTGAAGACACACAAGAGTTGGCACCTGTCTTTCGAAGAAAGTTTGTCGAGTTCCAAGAACTGCAATGACACTGCCCATGACCAATCCACCTACCAAAATGTATGGGGAGCATTACTTCCGAAAGCACGTACTGAATTGCAACGTACAAAAGTTAGCCATGCCAAAGCTAGGGTGTTGCCAATTAGATTGGAGAGTTGTCCGAAATATGGTGGACACCGAAGTCCAAGTGCCAAGCGCAAACCGTCTCTTGGCACTTTTATACAACTGGGAATTGAGGAGAGTTTAGCTGCCGATACCAGCATCCAGTTCTGCCATCCAGATATTGATTGTAAGACATAAATATATGTATAATATTAATTAAATAAACATACATAATTTAAAACACTTCACATTTGTATTTAGGCATAAAAAACATATAGGTAAAACTTTTAAAAAGTGTCGTCAAAATTTATACAGTAACATAACGTTTTCGATCTAATCAGATCATCTTCAGTGCCTTCTTATGTAATTGAAACTGCAGCAGTTAGTCTGTGTCGTTTTAACTGACAAGAACCACGTGTTCAAACCGAGCAAGGAGACATGTAGCTCCTCAAGTATTAATTTTGATCCAATGTCATCAACCTAGTCACAATATATGGATGTCACAGCTACAAATTTAGTGTTAATTACATAAGAAGGCACTGACGATGATCTGATTAGATCAAAAACGTTATGCTACTGTATAAATTTTGACGACACTTTTTTAAAGTTTTAACTATATGTTTTTTATACCTAAATATAAATGTGAAGTGTTTTAAGTTCTGTATGTTTTTTAAACGATGGTATACAGCTAACTACTGGGATTTTCCAATTAATTTTTATAAATTAAATAGTTTTAGTATACTGCAAATAAATTACTAGTGTAAAAAGACTTTATATAAATTAAATAAATAAAGACTAGATAAAGTAAAATGTTAGAAGAATTTAATAATAAATTAAAAGACTGTAATAATAATAATAACAATAGCAACTGTACGCATACAGTACGAATTAACTGACAGCTTCGAAATAGTTCAAGGGCTGAAACAAGGTGATGGACTAGCTCCAACACTGTTCAATCTGGCCCTTGAATATGTCATCAGAAAGCTGAATGTCGGAAGAGCCAATCTCCTAACAAACAAATCTGTCCAGCTCGCCGCATATGCGGATGACATTAACCTCATGTCTCGCAGAGTGGATGATGCAGCAGAAACATATTCGCAGCTGAAAAAAACGGCCAAGGAGATTGGACTTGAAATAAATACACAGAAGACAAAAATACTAACACAGACGCGGACAAAGCGAACAAGAAATCAAATCAAAGTAGAGGATGACATTGAAACAGTGAAGAGTTTTACTTATCTGGGAGTCGAAATGAATACGGAGGGAACAGAAGAGGCCGAAATTCAGAAGAGAATAATGAAGGGAAATAAAGCCTATTTTTCCCTGATTAACATATTCCGCTCCAAGACGGTACATCGAAAATCGAAACTTAAGGTCTATAAAACTATCATCAGACCGATAGTATGCGATAGGACGCGAGACATGGGTTTTGACAGAAAGCACTAAACGAAGATTAGAGGTTTTCGAGAGAAAAATCCTAAGGAAGATCTTTGGACCCATCACTCAAAATGGGATGTGGAGATCTAGATATAACCATGAACTCTACCAACTGTTCAAAGAAGCACCTATTGCAGAGTTCGCTAGAGTACAAAGGCTTCGATGGGCTGGTCATGTGGTACGGATGGATGCCGACAGATTGCCGAGAAAGGCCTTGGATGGTAAAATGCAGGGCAGAAGACCAAAGGGAAGACCACGTAATAGATGGGAGAACGAAGTCACAGCAGATGCGCACAACTTATTGAACGTCAGGGCTTGGAGACGAGTGGCGCGGGATCGCCTTTGTTGGAGGCAGAAGTTACAGGAGGCCAAGGCTCAATTTGGGCTGTAGCGCCATTGGAAGAAGAAGAAGAATAAGAAGAAGAAAAGACTGTAAATAAAGATAGTAAAATCATCAATCATTAAATGTTTCGTAAGTACTAGGTGTTTTCAGATTTATTGCAAAAAGTAACATTAAAAAAAGACATATTTTAGTACAGAACTTTGCAACACAGTAGATTCGTTTTCTTAAATCAGTTAAATCGAGGGTCTGGGTTTAGTTTTGTTTATAATATTTTTGACATAACCCCATTAAGAAGCAGTCTAATGGCGTCAGATCAGGACATCGTGCTGGCCATTCCATCGGACCTGGCCTCGCTATCTACCGATTTCGAGATATTCGGTTGAAGTACTGCCGAACATTCAATTGGCAATGGAGTGGTGCTGCTTGCTGGAACTTGTGGTTTTGCTAAATCAGGATATTCAAAGTATAACATTATTTAGGAAAAGTACTAAAGGTTCACCATTCAATAAAAAAGGTACCTACGATATGATCTCCAACAATTCTTGCCCATTCATTAACCTTCTCAGGATATTGTATATGTTCTTCTCTCATCCAGTGAAGATTTTCACCATAGTCTAGAGTTGCACACATAGTGACAATTTTGACAATTAGCATACCCGTGAAGTATAAAGGTACACTCATTAGAAAACAAAACATATTCTAATTGGAACACATTATTATCTAAGATTGCCATTATTTTTTTAGAAAAATATATTCTCCTATCAAAGTCGTCTTACGTGAGTTGGTATCATTTTCTAGGGATACATTTTATTTTGTTTTAATGTTCGAATAGTCGATGGACAACTAACATCAAACATTGGGTCTGTTTTTTGACTAGAAGTATAAGGGTTTTACACAAACTTCAAACAAAAGAGGTTTCAAGTATAATATTCAATTTGACATCATCACTTATTGCATTGGCAGCTGCTTTTTATTTGCCTTACATGTTCAAGCTCGCAAAACTGCTCTTCTACCAAATGTCCCTTGGTACATAGTCAACATCACTTTGGAAGTGGTTCGTGAAATAAGCGAGTAACACTCATTTGCATTTCTGTAAAAGAACTATTGTTCTGATATGCAGTCAATGAGATTCAAACGAGTATAAAACTTATAAGTACTGTCCTGTGGACAAACAAGACTTTATTAAGGCCAGGCGTTTTAGACTAAAGTAATTCAATAAAAAAATATTATTTTTAAGTTCATATCAATCAAAAAGAACGCAGAAATGGTTTTTGCTTATTTTCTGATTATCAAGACCTACATGGGAAATATTGAGTCTTTTATACCAAATTTCCTAATAAATCTGAAAACACAGTTTTCAACATAACAACAGTTAAAAATAGGTATAAGACATTGTACATAAAACATGTCTAAAATATTCTGAGGAAATCAAAAATTCTTCATAGTCAAAATGACTTTAAATGTTTCCTTTTGCTCTTTTGTGTCAGTCGGAAGTGAGACGCATAAAGTCTTAGAAACATACTAAATGCAACTTCTGACTGTGCCAATGGCATTCAATGACAGTTTGCAAAACTACAATGCAATAATACTGTATTCTTAAATGCAATAAAAATCATGAATATAAAGAATTTATGTATAAAACAATGAACTTACCCTTCCAAGCTTTGACTAAATCTTCAATAGTTTGTAACCTATCATATGATAACTGAGCGACAAATGTAATATCGTTTTCCACAACAATATGCTTATACTCCCTAAAATACAATATCGTTCTCCAATGCTTATTGGCTAAGCTTTGAAAATCTGAACAAACATCGTCAGAGTCATTCAAAGGAATAGGTAATGGCACATTATTACATAGCTGCAATTTTTTCCTCAACAAATTTCCGTTATATTCTTGGAATCCAGTAGCTAAACTTCTAAAATATTCCCCGTCTTTATTTTCAACATTGTACTTTTTCGGTGAGTTCCAGTGAACAATCTTAAGGGATAAAGAATCAATTTATTTGCAAGTAATCTTCTTTCAAGTAATACTTACTTTCACTTTATGATTTTTGTAACAGCTCTCACTTAACGTTTTATCACTTAGTTGAGTATTCCATACACAAGGCACTTCAAAAATAATTTCTGGGTGCTCCTTAACAATAGCATTTATAATATCTTGATCTGCTAATCGAGTTGATCCATAAATACGAGCATCCCTTTTAGCAAGGTCTGACCACAGCTTGGACCAGTTAAGCTTCTTTAAAAGCAGAAGGTTATAGAGAATCACACCTGAGTTAAAACTAAAATACACACAATTAGAGAGTATTCGTTGCAAAGTAGACTGAACCTTTTACCCTCTGCCAATAGCTGGCCATGTATTGATTCCTAAGTAATAATCACTTTGGTTTTCAACCATTCCTATTGCCTGAAATAAGTAATACAATATAATTAGATGGGTTAGGTTATATTAGGTTAAGTTAGGTCCTATTTCTACTTCCGCCATCTCTACATCAGGACGGGTCTTTCATATATATAGCAGATACCCAAGCGGGCTTGGCTGTGTGTCGGTCAGATAGCCAAGCGGACTGGGCGGCCGGTTTCTCATTCGCTTCATTGCGAGTGGTTCAGAGGAAGTGGGAAGTGAGTTCGATCCCCAGCTCGGTGTACAGAAAAACAAAAAGGCTAACGCAGCAGTTTAAAATTCTAAATGAATCTGCGGCTTAGACTAGAATATGCTGGTGTCTGATCGGCTTATGGTAGAAAAGTACGGCAAGAGATCAAGTAAATGGACATTATACGATAATATTGTATAGACAATCAATTAAACTAACAACAATTAGCAATCTGTTAAAAGTCTTTGTACCTAAGTATTTTTTGTACCGTACACCATTTAATTTAAATAGATATTATATATTATGGATGATATAACTTACTTGTTTCTTGTTGAACTTCCTAAACATATTCCAAAGTTCATAGATGTCACTAACAACTGTCATGTCAGTATCCAAAATTATAATTCTGTCAGTAACTGTTAGGGGAATTATTTTTGGAAATAATATTTTCAACAATCCATGTATGCCTGAATAGTGGCTATTTGGTATCCATCTAATTTCAGATGTATAGTTACTCATCTCATAAAATGTTGTGTTCACTAAAATGGATAAATGGCCAAATATATATATATATATATATATATATATATATATATATATATATATATATATATATATTATAATATTTACACTTACCTTGTGATACATCCCAACTTTCAAACAATTTTCTCAATATTTTTTCTGAAATCTTATTTGATAGAATATGAAAATGTAGTGGATTGACTCTGTTAAGAAATATAGATTTAAGTAAAACATGAAACATTAAATTGGAATTATATCCAGAACACACCACCCCAATGTGTATGGTCTCACAGGGATCATCTGTTAAGATTGTTTCTTTGGTTGCTTTGGTATTTTCTGCTGGGTGGACACCAGAGTTTAGCTGTTCTTTTCTAACGGAGAATCTAGTATCTTGTGCTAAAATTAAACAAAAGACCCATTTAAGTAGTTATATCGTCGCCAATAATTTGTCATTATACAGTGGTTGCTTAAAGCGATAACATCATAGATTTTTATTGTATTTTTGTAGACAACATGTCTGTTATACGTCGGCAGAAAAAGTTCAGATAATAAGCTGGTGTTATGGTGGTAATTCTGGACAACAGTGTGTAGATTTATTTTCTGTGTTTTTTGAGGGAGACCTCCTTGTATACAGTCAATTCAGAACTTTGTTAAAAATTTTGAGATTTTGTTATTACCTCAAAAATTGTAAAAAATGTCATGCTCAAGAAGTGTCACCAGAAAAAGTTGATGAAAGAGAATACACACGTTCAAGTAGAAGCGTTGCTAGAGGGTTAGATTTTTATAATAGATAATAGATTTGGATAAATTTTATTAAAAGCATTTTATTCACTGATACATCTTCTGTTTTGTTAGTAGAGACACAATCCTTCCATTACAAGGTATTGGGCGCGGGAAAACCAGCACAGAAGTGTTTTTTACCGAACTCAACGTCCTCAAAAAGTTAATGTCTGGACTGGCATTTTAGGATACCACATAGATCAATTTTTTATTGAGGGCAACTTGAATAGTAGAGTATACCTCGATTTGTCACAGAATCATGTTCTTCCCACTATTCTCAATGGAATAAGTCTGGAGAATGTTTGGTTTCATCAAGATGGCTGTTCAGTTCACAACGCTTGAATAATTAGGGAGTATTAAAATAATACTTTCCCGAATCGAGTTATCAGTGGAACAGGCGATATTAAGTTTCCTGCGTCATCTCCAGATTTTAAACCCATGAACTTTTGGGACATTTAAAAAGCATCATCTACGATCATACTGAGGATAGAGCCCAACATTTGGATGAATTAAAAATCGAATAAAAGAAGTCTCCAATTCTGTTACAGCAGAAACTCTTTCATCAGTGCGCAGAAATTTTTAGGACAGATTGGGATACAGTTCAACCTGTAGAATGTCAAATATTTGAATCATTTCTGTAGGACATAAAGAATTATTTCTTATTTTATTAGGAATTATTATTTTTATTTATTTATTTATTTATTTTTTTAATATGATATATAGATATATTTTTTGTTTTATCTTTTTAAGAAATACGCATTTATTTTGAATTTAACCACAAAAAAGTGTTCACATTATTAAAAACCGATAAAAATGCACCAAAATACACTGCCTTACAAATTGTGTATTTTATCAAGTTTATGTACTCTAAGAACTGAACAGAGTACTATACATAATTAAAACAAACATTGACGGACGAATTCTATGTGTTGTTGTAAGTTACTAAATGATTTTCTGTCGTGGTGTCGGAGGGGATCTGAGACTGAGAATTACAATTACCTCGTACGAGGCAACGTTGCCGATGCTAGCGCTTTATGTAGTGTGCAATATTTAATCCAAAACTAAACGTACTGTATAAAGGGAAGAAATCTTTTATATGATCTATTCATTTAATTTCGGGTTGCAACGGTGTACTAAGCAGATAAAAGTAAATTTATGTTTCTCCTACTAAAATCCCAAATATTGGGATTAGTAGCGAAAAATAATTTACGGTTTGTTTACATATGTGAATTTAAAAAGGCTTCGTAATACCACAGTGAGAAATTGCTGGAAAAAACTCGCTTTCGATAAAAACTAGTGTTTGAAGTGATAAAAGTAAGTAAGGTTATTTACAATTCGAAACAGTCATACTGGTAGAACTCTGGTCGTTAGTTTTGCGACGTTGCCAAAGTTAAAAATAGTTCTGCAAACTGAGGACTGATAGGAACTGGATTTTTGAGCGGTTGAAGCGGATTTAGTTCCTTTCGCGGTCCTTAGAAACAGATATGATGTACACGGATAGTGATGATAATGCGTCAGAAGGCAAGAAGAGAAAAGATAGAGGGTCAACTTCACCTTTCTTGCAGAGCAAAAAAACTGCCAGAACCCCAAGCAAAAGAGAACCAAAGTAAGAAGATTCTGAGGATTTGGACGACGTTATAAGCATGTTCAAGAAGATGATGGGGGAACTGAAAGAAATCAGGAATGAAAATAAGGAATATAGAGAAGAGATGATAGTGCTGAAAAAAGAAAATATAAAGATAAATCAAGAATTGGAAGAAACAAAAAACAAATTAACCCAGATTGAAAACAAAGTAGAAAGAATTGAAAAACAGATGAAAAGAAATAACATAGTAATTACGGGTCTACCAATAAACGCAACAGATGAAACACTCTTAATAAATAATATAAAAGATTTTATACAAACGCACCTAAAAGAGGATGTTGAAATAGAATCTGCAATAAAGTTAAAGAACAATATATGTCTGATACAAATGAAGGATTATGGCGAAAAAATTAAGGTAATGATAGAAAAAAGCAAACTCAGATTTCTTACTGGAGAAAAGATCTTTATCAAAGATGACCTGACCGAAAAAGAAAGACACATGAGGCAGGAAATCGTAAATAAAGGCAAGGAATTAAGAGCCGCAGGTAAAAATGTGAAGATAGGGTACAAAAAACTAACTGTGGATGGTATAATATGGGTATGAGCCGGAAATGGTACTTTCAAACAAGAAAATTCTAGAAAATGGACCCAAAAAACGGCATATAGTAGTGGAAAAAGGAAAAGATGACCCATTATGCCAACGGACACTGGCGATGAACAGGAAAATGAATTTGAACATAAATAACAAAATAAAAAATAAGAATATGTATCTAAATATTGCTACATGGAATGTATGAGGAGTATACGAGGAGGGAGCATTAATTAACCTAATAGAAGAACTAAAAAAATATAAAATACATATCTTAGCAATACAGGAAACACATTTAACTGGAAACAACATCAAAAAGATTAGCCCATATACATTTTATACAAGTGGAGGCGATAATAGGAATTTTGGAGTTGGTTTTCTGGTACATGAAGACGTGGAGCAAGTAAAACGATTCGTAGTAAAATCTGACAGAATGTGTGCAATTAGAATTAAAGGAAAAGAGAATATGATATCGTTGATAAATATACATGCTCCAACAGAAGAAAAAGAAGAAGTGAAAGACGAATTTTATGAAGAATAAGAGTCATTGTGTGAAGAAATGCTCAGACAAGATCTTGATTTGAAGTGAAAAAAGGTATTCGCCAAGGAGACCTGTTGTCTACATTGCTATTCAATATAGTTCTAGAAAAAATTGTAAGGGTTAGTGGGATAAATAGGTCCGGAACTATTTTATACAAGGAGCACTAATGCTTAGCATACGCTGATGATGGTTCTCGTTGCAAGAAATGGAAAAGAACTATCAGATATAACAAAAAGATTGATTCAGAAAAGCTCTAAAATGGGACTGAAAGTTAATATTAATAAATCAAGTACATGGAGATCTCAAGCAAAAAAGAAATAAACACCAGGGGATCCTTTAAATTGGAGATGCAGGATGGATCAGTTGTAGAATTCGAGAAGGTGGATGAATATATGTACTTAGGTACTCTTATTGATCAGACATGTAAGGAAGAAACTGAAATCAACCTGAGACTGACCAAAAGCAACAGGTGTGCTGGAGCCATGAGCAAAATAATTAAGGCCAAAGATATATCTCGGAATACAAAAATAAGAGTATACAAAACTATAATTAGACCCACAATGCTATATGCTGCCGAGACATGGACGATGAACAAAACCATACAGAATAAATTATAAGCATGGGAAAGAAAGATACTTCACAGAATATTTGGTGGAAAATTAGTAGAGGGAGAATGGAGAAGACGAACTAATGCAGAAGTGTACCATTTGTATGCTAACCCTACAATAACAAGAGTGGTGAAAAAATGTAGACTAGAATGGCTTGGTCATCTAGAAAGAATGCAAGGTGATAAACTAGTCAAGAATATTGCTTGGAGAGTACCTGAGGGAAAAAAGAGAGGAAGACCAAGAAAGAAATGGAGAGATGCAGTGATGGAAGATGTCATAGAGATGGGAATCAGAGATTGGAAGCTGTTAGCTAAGAATAGAAATCAATGGAAAGTATCCATCCAGCAATGGGCCTAAAAGGCCTGTTAACACTGTACATACATACATACATTCATTTAATTTCAGTTACTACCAAGGAGATTAAAGCTCTTGCAGGCGGTGTTTTGTAAGGGAACATTGTTTTTGGTGATTATAAAAACGATGTGGACTGGTGATCTTCCTCGAATATTTGCGCTACCTATGTCATTTGAGTGCCACATGTAATCAGTCATTTGATAGAAATCAGCATTGGAATTTTTGTACATCTGTGTTTTTGATACATAGATCAGTTAGCTTTGATGATAGATTAATAAGCTTCTTCGTAATATAACATAACAAACTTTTTAGTCACTGCATTACCACAAAATATTTCCAGAGAGAAGACAGATTTTACAAGCAGTCTGATGGGATGGTCAATGGCCACGAAAAGGTGGTCAATTACCACAAAAATCAAAAACAAACATTGAATTTTAGTTGCCTGAAAATTCAAGAGAAAACTTACACCCAGAGTATACCAAAAGCTACAACAAATTGATTCATCATTTCATCATTCATCATTCATGGATCATCATCATCATCCATATTGAGTCCACTGCTGAACATAGGCCCCCTGTGAATAGACGGAAGGAGAAGTAAAAGATGGTGTGGTTTAAAAGATATTAAAAAAGGAAATTAAAATGGCATTAAAAACAGCAAAAATGACAAGGCTGTAGGTCCAATCCAAATCCAATTAGAAAGTTTAAAATGCATAAATGATAAAACCTTAAACATTATAGAAGACTTTTTTAACACCATATATAAAACAGAACATATACTGAAACAGTGGTTACTCTCCACCTTCTGCAGTGAATACAGAAAAATATCATTACTCACATTCTTCAAGTCATGTTCTCAAATTATTTTTAAAAATATTACATGTTTATAAAAATAAAAAACTCTAAGAAGGATTAGATGATAAGTCAGTTTGGGAGTTCAACAAAACAGAGTAACAACCAATGAACATCAGAACCTATGCCTTCTATGCACTAAAGAAATTCTCATTAATAGAGATATTACATTAAACCTTAAAATCAAATATGCTGCTATATATTCTCCACATTGCTTTGAGGTATGGAGAACTATTAACTTACAGAGACAGTAATAAAAAAATTAGAGGCTAATTTACCAATAAATATTATGAGTAAGTTGGGTGGATCAAATAAGAAATGCAATAGTTTTACAGTAAATAATAAAGAGCACAGACATAAAAAAAAAACAATAAAAATTTTGAAAGTTACAAAAGTTGGCCATGTAATGAGACATCTAGAGAGATATAACCTTCTACTCCTTGTAATACAGGCAAGATCGCCAGAAGAACATCCTGGCACCAATATCTCCGAGACTGGTATGAAGAAACATCTGCTAATATATTTTGAGCTGCCATAAACAAAGTTATTATTGCCCAACATTAGATAATGGTACAGGGTAGGGAAAGAAGAAGAAGAAAGGATATAACACAACATAAGTTATTGCACAAACTAAACATCATTGTCTAAATTCCATAGCCACTCAATAGCACTTGGGGAGCAATATGCAAAATCCTGGAGGTCTTCACTGTACCTGTGAATTTGGCAGTATATCATGATGTGGTGGATGGTGTGTCTCATGGATCCAAAATTGCACTGTAGGCTTGTGCATTACATGTGTGCTTACACATGCATCCAGGCTACTGCTAAATTAACTAGAATTATTGGATTCCAATATAATATAGATCAAATATAAAGATATTCATGGTGTCTCCTTGAAAATGTTAGAGTTGTTAATATATGAAATCGAAAAGAAATGGAAGTAGATATTGAAGTATAAAATGAAGAAACGTGAGTTACAGTGTAGGAGAGTAGGACCCCTATAAACCTAAAACTTCTTATATCTTTATATTATTTATACCTTAAAAATATGAAAAAAATTAAAATATTAGTTGATTTACTATTTTAAGTATACTATGAAATGTACTTACGAGTATATAAGCTAGGGAAAACATTTATAAATATCAGTGCTATACTGATAAAGAGGAGTAAAATCAACCATTGTCTAGTAAATTTGCAGAAAAAGGCATGTTGGCGTTTTAGTCGAATTTTTGAATTCTAAAAACACATTAATACAACACAAAATATCTTTTCTATTACAACTCTTTGTTCATATAAAAATAAAATATAAGCTTAGCCTTTGTGCGCTCTGAAATTAAATTAATGTCCAGTAAATTGAATTATTTGTTACACCATATTGTTAGGGTATTGTATTTAGATATTTTTTGTTATAAATGAGTTGTTATTCTGTCACAACAATTGTATGCAATTATAATTTAAAATACACTACCACTACCACTACAGTAGTACAGTATCTTCTATACACTGACTGTTGACTCGTGGACTGATACTAAATTCAGTTCAGATCTGTAACTCTGTAATCTGTAATGAGCAATCATGGCCTGGAATCTTATATGAATAACCTTGAACATTTCCCCCATCACTTTGACTCCAGTCGGTTAATAAAGAGAGATGACAGCCTATCTCGCTCACGAAGACTTTAACCAATCATTTTATTTTAACACCATCTCTGAATGTCACAAATAAAATAATCAAACGAAGCTTAATTCCGCCATGTCAATTCCGTCAAAAGTAAACAAGTTGATGATTGATATTTGTCATCGAGTTAGAAGTTCGGTGGACCGTGGAATCTATTTGTATATTTTCGAGTTTCGTCCATTTTCGTCTTCCACGTGCTTTGGCTTGTTTACAGTTTTCATTTTTAATTTAATTATCTTTAACTTTCGTTTGTATTTAGTCTTAGTAATTTAAGTTGGTTCCTTAGTTTTTTAAAGTTTAGTTAGTTGATACCTTAGTTTTCATTTTTAATTTAATTATCTTTAACTTTCGTTTGTAATTTAATCTTGATAATTTTAATTTAAGTTGGTTCCTTAGTTTTTTAAGTTCGGTTAGTTGCTTCTTTAGTTTTTTCAGTTTAGTTTTATGTGATTCCTTAGTTTTTAAAGTTTAGTTATAGTTCCTATAAATAAAGATTTTCGTCTCCCTACAAAACTTGTGAAAAAGCAGATAGGTATTGTCACATCACTCACGATATGTGAGATTATTCCATTGGAAAATAATAAAATATTTTGAATTTCCCACTAAATTTTAATTAGTACCGAAATGACCCACCAGAGGCGCTAAAGCAATAAAATTAATACTTAACCATTTGAATTTCCCGCCAAATGGTGATTAGTATTGACTCCACTCACCAGTGGTGCTAATAAACCAAATTTATATATAGAGTTGCCTATCTATCTGTATATACTATATTATTTATCTATGATGAGCAATGACAGGATAAAAATGACAGGAAAGCACCTTATTTACTAATAGTCAGTGGGCATATTACACAATATAAATTCTTAAATAAAATTGAGCATTTATGTTGACTTTCAATAAATATGAAATATTGCACTGAAAACATAATTACATGCAGGGCCAGCTTTTGTTGACATTCTAAATGGTGTAATTATTTTTGATTTACAAAAGGTTGCAAATACATCGCACAACGCAAAGTAATGGTGAAAATCGTATTGATGGAACCATAGATGAAAATACTTTTTTGTTTATTCTGATGTTGGCATTGATAATACAATAATACACCGATTCTTTTTGGCTTGTGTTGATACAAGATATAATTTGTTCGTCGTGGAATTTCCTAATAAATTATCTTTCGTAATATAATCGAAAAATAACAAAGCCATTGTAACTGCCACGGAAATTTCACAAACTCTAAAAATTCCAATTCACTTTGGGTGAGACTGAGAAACAAGAAACTTTATATTGATATCGATTGTTAATGTCTTGGAAACCTATTAAAATTACATTTTTCCTTTAAAGTCGAATATTGGAGTAAACGATATTCGACTAAAACGAATAAAAAATCAAGAAGTAACTATTGTACGAGTATATTTCTATAAATATAAAAATGTAATAACCTAAAAAATAATCAAAAAAGTATTACGAATCATTACAAGAGAGCATTAGGAAGATAAAACGAATTTATATTATTGTCATTACACATGATTCGGATATACATAGTAAATCCAGACTTTCAGTTTAAACTAATATTTCGATACAATTTATTTTGTTTACAATAGATTCAGAGTTAATACATACGATTTTTAGTTGTTTGGTATTGCCTTTAAAATTATTTGTAGTATCTAGTTTGCCTAAGCCGGATTTGTAACAATTATTTCTGGTTTTGTTGTTAACTGCGGTTAGTACAATTCTTATACTTGAAGTCAAAACGACGAACCATTAAACCTTCAGGCCAGATACTGGGATTGAGAACTTCATTTTTATAATCCAATGGATATGAAACTTTAAAGCTTGCTTGGTACTACCGTAACCTTTAACTTCTTGAAGTAGAAATGTATATTTGGAGCATTTACCTTTAAATTATTGGTCAAATCTTCCGTTGTCTGTTGTGGAATTATATTATGGTGTAAATAAATAATGATTGATTGGAGTAAGATTTATGTCTGTTTACTCTTAATATTGGCTATGGGCATATAAGCTTGGTTGTAAATATAGTAATTGTCATCCAGTTCTAGTCTGTTAAAATGTAACTAACTTTCGCAATAAAATAATTACTAAAATACTAGATAGTTGTGTCTGAGATTAGCGAATCGACTATACATACACTACATACATTCAGTATCATTGTATATCCAAGATGGACGCCGCTACACAATAGCGGATTACTTATTTTTTCACAACTACTTCAATATGGGTATCAAATGAAAGGGTTTGACTAGTAGAAAAGAGTTCATTATAGAAAATCCAAAATGGCCGCCAACAAAATGGTGGATTACATATTTTCGTTGGGCGTACTGTTGTACGCCAATGATTTTTTTTATTTTTATTGACTTCCGAAAGGCATTTGATCGTATTAAGTACTCTATATTGATCGAAGTTCTAAGAAACATTGGTTTGGATGGCAGAGACGTTCGCATAATTGCAAAGTTGTATTGGAATGAAACATAAGTTTTAGTAGACGGTTTGGAATCACATCGCCGTTTACTCCAAAAGAACGTTCAGAAATGCACTTTCTGAAAAACAAGAAGGAATAATTATGAACAGTGACTTCATAAATAATTTGCGATATGCGGACGATACAGTACTCCTAGCTTCTACTCCAGAAGATTGTGCAAACATTAATTAACAGTGTTGTTGAGAGCTGTAAGGAAGCAAGTCTTGGTAATAAGCAAACGACAGAATATAAAACCATATATATATATATATAATATATATATATATATAAATATATATATATATATATAATATATATATATATATATATAGATATATATAAGCCAAAACCACCAGTTTATTAGGGCTGCAGTCAGAAGGTGGGCCGAGATGTTAGAGAAACACTCTTTTGACTTTTCGGCGAGCTTTCGGAATGGTTTTATTCCTTTTTCAAGACACTGTAATATATATAAAAAAATGTGTAAATATTTACAAAATATCACAATTTGTCAGTGCAACTTACTAAGGTATAATTTCACTATTTGGAAGAGTGATTCATCGTTTGAAGACGATACATTTTTATATAATCTTATATTATTATTATTTTTTTTTTCTTAACATTAAAAACCGTCTAGGTTTTCTGGAATAGAGATCGAAACGTCAGTAAATTAAACATGTAAATAGATGTATTGTGACTTATTTCAAACAAACACAAAATGTGAATTAAACATTTAAACAAATTTTTAACAGAACAAAAAATTTTAAACAAAGAACTTTTTGTATTTATAAATAATACTTCATTACTTACAACTATAAGAGTATTAGTATATTCTAAGTGTATTGTAAGTAATGAAGTATTTAACTTTTGTCAATATCTCATATTAATAAATTTACAGTTTTCTCCTAATTAAGTCTCAAAATTGTCACTAAATATTGAGATATACAATAAATAAAGTTTTAATATTTTTTATTTGTAATTCCCATTTAAATATTTATTCCCTAAATATGTTGTGTACTCCGATCCATATATTTGATCTTTGTTATTTATATTTAACGAATTAAACATTGACAGACAACTTTTGTATATAGCAAAAAGTAGATGAGCATTTAGTTTGTTCATAATTTAATGTAAGTTTGTTTGGTGGATCTAATTATGTTTCCAACAATTTTTAGTTTGAGCATTTTAGGAATTTCTTTGTTTCGTTTAAATCAAATATTCTCGTGTATAAAACCCTTTATATATTTTTATTTCCTAAAAATACTATATTCGTATTGTTGTCTGCGAGCGCTTTCACACCAGTAGGCCAACATCTGTTGATTTTTTGAGCTGAGCCTTCGGAGACAGTAAATTTAATGTGTGTTCGTAGTTCTCTGGTTTTTATTCTGAACTATCCCTTGGCAGACCAAAATTTATTTTTTTATTGCTTCACTTAACGAGAGCTCGAGCGGACACGTCGGTGTCGGCTTACTCAAAGTCAAATTAATACTATTATGTAATAACTAATAATAATTACAAAGCAACAGTAATTACCTGTTATTATTCTTAGGAAATCTAAATAAACTTATTCCTTTTCCTGTCACAGATGAACATCCGCGAAACGCACAACAATAACCAGAAGACATTTTAAATACTTATAAATTAAACTTTTAACTATAAACTATAACTATAAACTTATATATTTAACTTATATATTTTAACTATAACTATAAACTATAACTACTTATAAACTTTTAACTACTAAGTAAATTAGATAAATGGTCAAATGCACTTGTATAGTCGAGAGTTTACCACAGATGCCTACGGACTATCGTAAGCAACTAAAGTTGAAGAAAACGCACGTGTTTTTGACAGTAAAGCACCCTATTTGGGTCATGCGTATACAGAAAAGATACACGGATTTCGGGCCTCGTGTCGCTTCTCTGTGTTCGTAGTTCTCTGGTATAACATATACTATTTCCGCAAATCGCCAGGAAATTTTGACATTCCTGTCAAAATTTCTTGAAGAAAAAGTCAGGACTTCCTTACTGTAAGGAAATGTCATTTCCTTACTGTAAGGAAATGATATTTCCGTACAGTTGTTAGTGTTCTACATAAATTAAATTATAAGCGTCAAGTTTGACAATTCAACCTCAATACGTTTCCATAGTAACCCAAGTAATTTTATTAGGAATTTCAAAGCACCATTTTTTTGGGAATAAAATTATCGCGTTTTTTTTTAAATCAATCAATATCTGTCGAATTTTAAACGATTTGCGGAAAAATAGTATGTTTACCTCGTAGGAAAAGCCACATTCCTGGACTCTGTGTTGCTAAGTCTCGGCTTGCGCCTCGACTTAGCAATCTTCACAGTCGTCCAGGAATGTTAAGCTTTTCCTACCCGGTAAACAATGTACTATTTAGTAACAGACAACAGAGTATTAAATTAGGCACAAGAGCAGAGAACAAAAATTATAGTCGGTTCGCTAAACCCAGTCCGAACATAGTGTATACCATGTGTTGTGTATACTAAAGTTAATTGCGAAGTCAGTTACTTTTTGACAGGCTAGAAGTGGCTGGAAATTACTATACAACCAAGTACACGTGGTCATAGTGTATTTCATTAGAGTATTTTCGCTGTCGACCTTTTTTGCAAACTAATATGCTATATTCCTATCAGAAAATAATTTTGGACGACCCGGGATCTTACTTTTTTTATCGAATGTGCTTTATTATGTGGATTATATAACAGAGTATTGAGTACGTTTTGTGATTATATATCATTTGAAATATTGCTTATTCAGCATTATTTTCATCACTTTTAAAAAATAATAAATTAACTGGAAAATATTAAACGTTTATTGATTATATTCTAAAGAAACTCAAGCTAAATGCTACCAAAAATATTAAGTTAGTTGCCTACATTTGACGCAACTCAACGATATAAACTAAATTAGCCTAACTTTTTTATAAAATACATTTTTATGCATAATAAAAACTTATTTTCTTTATACATAATGATGATTCTGAAGCTGGTACAGACAACAAAGCGAATGCATGGCAAGATGCAGCCATATAAAGAAAAACCCAGTGAACACGTACCAGTGGAGAAGAAAAGAAATGGGGACGCAAGCGAATGAAGGGAATATTCAAAGAGATATACGTAGACTTAAGAAGAAAGAAAATTGAGAGAGAAATTATATACTAGTACAAAGGTACGTTGACATTGAAGTTTTTTTTTTAACAACTGATCGGATTATCATTTTACCTTTTTAGGTATTCTCGGCGGTGCCTTCATGAATTTCCCAGGTGTGCTCATAACACTAAAGTTCATCAATGTTCTTCGTTGACAATGACCGATATCAGAAAATTCAACGAAAGCTTTTATAGCAAACCATCGAAATCCTATCAAGACATGTTTGTATTGAAGCACTGCATGACAAATAATCCAAAAAGACCTGGTACGAAAATTAAAGAAAACGTTCTAAATAAACCAAAAACAGTCAGTGCGAAGTACACTATCAACACGTTAAAAGTTATTAAGAGAAGATAATCGCACAGTAGCAATATTTTCCTTTGATTGCCTAAAGAATCTACCACTACCCCAAAGATTCCAGATCAGACCTGCTATTTTAGTATGCAAGTAAATTTGTACAATTTTACAGTTGTAACTGGAAATTCAAAGTCCCCACTTACTCGTTGATATGATCGCCAGAGGACAGAGAATGATCGCCAGAGGAGTTCAAATGAGATTGTTTCCGTTGTTTATTACACATTGACAAACTTTCATTTTAATGACGGTGTAGAGAAAGTGCGTTTAATGGCTGATGGTTGTAGAGGCTAGAATAAGAATATCACAATGGTTGGAATGGTTCAACACTGGCTACAATATTGTGCTCCACATCATATAAAGTATATAGAACTTGTATATCCCATAGTAGGTCATTCTTTCCTTCCCCCTGATCGAGTATTTGCTCAAATTGAAATAAAAGTTAAGAAATGTGTCACCATAATTGATCCAGAAACAATATATTAATTTTATTAAAGATTATTCTACATGGGAGATGGAAGAAGATTACAGTTTTTGACTGGAAAGGTGAGGTGAAAGAAGTTGTTAAAAGTCCTGGATCCTGGCATTTTCGTTTTTAACCATCTAAACGATTATTATTTTTAACAAACAAGAAAGGGTATTTTTATGTCACAGGTGAACCGTTTTATAAAAATGTACTTTCTAAGCCCAAGAGCATCTGCAAAAAGGAAAGAATATTACTCAAATCCAGTTACAACCATTGAGTGTAGGGAGAAGTTTAAAACCAAATAAAATAAAAAGCATATCAACGTTGTTATACTTGGTTCGCTATTCCCAGTCCGAACTGTCTAGTAAATTTAGTAATTATTTTTTTGCGAAGTTAGTTACTTTTTGACAGACCAAAAGTGGCTGGAAATTACTATACAACCAAGTACACGTACTCATAGCCAATATTAATAGTAAACAAACTAAATAGTAAATAAAATAGAACTTTGCGAATTACCGACAATCAATATTTATTTATCTGCACCATATAATAAATAGTTATGTTAAATTATAACAACTAAAATATATTTTTTAAATATATATATACTACTCAGATTTTTCTTGGTTTAGTATACACTTCCACGATTTAGAATAATTCTTCTTTTTTCTAAGAAAGAAGTCTGCAATAGTAGTATAATTGAGCTATTAATACTGAGAAGTAGGAATTGTTGTGTTGTAGGTTTCCGACAATGAATCTGTCAAAATATGCCCGAGCTAAACGAATGGAGTATAACGAAAAACTATAGGGTGAATTGAGCGACTGATGAACGTCTTCATTTCTTTACAAAAGCTTTTAAGCTTTTTACTTGGAAAACACTAACCAGGCGGAAAATATCCTGAGGATACGGAAGATCATCCTGAATGTACAGAAGACGAAAGTATGATTAATTCATCTTATGCTGAAGATATCAAAGATAGAAAATTTTAGTTAAAACACAATGTTCCTTGGTGTCAAATTTCGATTTTGGTAGGTTTTTAGGTCAAATGTATGATTTTGCATTATACGCTTCATTTGTTTCGTCCTGTCAAGACCTTCTAACTGATCCAAAGAGTTGGCCTTGTAATTTAACTGCATCTTTGCTCATCTAAAAGTATTAACGTTTAAAGAACATTTATGATATATTTATTAAAGAAAAACTTACCAACGTATTATATTAGTTGATGGAACAAATGGGACAATTTGGCTATACATAATAATAAAATTCAAAATATGACCTAAATAGAACTAACAAATAATGAAACAATAATAGAACTATATTTAATACAAAATAAATAACATATTTTTTTAATATATACTACCCAAAATTTTATTGGTTTAGTATACACTTCCACTATTTTTAAATAATTCTTCTTTTTTAATGTAAGATGTCTGTAATAAAAGATTATTTAAGCTATTCTTACTGTGAGATAAGAACTTTTGTGTTGTAGGCAATGACGTATAATATATAGACTCGGTGAACGCTTTAAAAAGTGTCCAAAACATGAATACCTTTGTTATTGTTTATTGTTTTGATACGAAGATACACGAAGTTCATGATTTCTTACGAAGCATCACGAAGTTGATCTTGTGTTTGAAAACATCATGGACGTATGAAAACATTTTCTCCATTTTGTGTGACAAGCAAATTTTATTTTAAATTGTTGAGAGTTATTTACTTACTATTTTAGTAAAATGCCATACTATTTTATCAAAATAATTATTTCTCTTATAGATGGGAACAAAAAGAAATCATAAATATTTAATTTTAATTACAAAAATAATTATTGTCATTAAAATATAAATGAACACGCCGCTGTTCTGATAAACATACCTTCAACCTTGAGCCGAGATCTTTCGGACACTCGAATCTATAGCGAGAATAGGGGACTGCGTAGTCTATATATTATACGTCATTGGTTGTAGGTTTCCAACTCGGAATCTGTCAAAATATACTATTTAGATTCTAACTCGATGACCTTAATAAATAAACTATACTCCATTCGTTTAGCTCGGGCATATTTTGACAGATTCATTGTCGGAAACCTACAACACAACAATTCCTACTTCTCAGTATTAATAGCTTAATTATACTACTATTGCAGACTTCTTTCTTTGAAAAAAGAAGAATTATTCTAAATAGTGGAAGTGTATACTAAACCAAGAAAAATCTGGGTAGTATATAATATATATTTAAAAAATATATTTTAGTTGTTATAATTTAACATAACTATTTATTATATGGTGCAGATAAATAAATATTGATTGTCGTTAATTCGCAAAGTTCTATTTTATTTACTATTTAGTTTGTTTACTATTAATATTGGCTATGAGTACGTGTACTTGGTTGTATAGTAATTCCCAGCCACTTTTAGTCTGTCAAAAAGTAACTTCGCAAAAAAATAATTACTAAATTTACTATACTTCATCTAATTTAGATAACGACTTACGTCATTATCTACGTCAGAGATCGAAGTTGACATAGTTGCCAAAGTATAAAAAAATCCTAACTCCATTTTAAATCAAATAGATTACATAATTATTGCAAAAGTATTACCATCTCTTTACAACGACTATTTAAATTCTTACGTGACATTTTTGAAATAAAACACACTAATTTTGTTCTAAAAAGAACAGATTTTATTAGATAGTTAAAAATATAAAACAAGAGATATTCACTTTAAAATTCAAAATAATGAAGTACAAAAAGTGTCAACACCGCAACTGTCAAATAAGTGTTACCAATTTATGCCAAAATTTTACCTTCGTTCGATTACAGTTACAGTGTGTTCCGAACAAATGTTCTTGATAAAAACGCTTTATAATGCATTTATACAAATTAAATGAAACATATTATTGTGTATTTCTTCAAGTAAACATTAATAGAAATTTTTAAATATGATTTCTACGCTTATATAATAAAATATGTCTAGTGGATGTAAAGTCAGTGTACTCGGTAAAGTGGCTCTAAAAAAGAACACACCTACACCCTAAATATTTTGTGTTGGTATCATGTGACGCCACAGGCTATGACGCTGATGACGTGCATCGTTATATAAATTAGATGAAGTGTAGACAGTTCGGACTGGGAATAGCGAACCGAGTATATAAGATGTCAATGAAAACGTCAAATATTTAAAGTTCTGAGTTCTGACAGTTGTATAATTAAACCATAGAATTAAACCTAATTGTCAAAAGAAGTTGATGTTATTATCTGTTATCAATTTTTCTTTTCTATTTGTTAATATTGAATTGGTCATAATGAGAAACACAAAAATTATAAAGTTATTTGAACTTTAAACTAAATAAAACATTGAAAATTAAATGTAAAATGGCTTTTAACATTTTTTCAGAACTCAAAGAAGAACCTTTAGAAGAAACCAACCAATCTGTAATATCCAATATTGCTATTAAAAATGAGGAAACTGATTATTTTTCTGACAACCCTGATTTTATAGAATTGGGAAGTGAATCTGACAGGTTTAATATCAAAAGCAATTGTTCCAAAACTAACCAAACTTCTGATCCCTTACAAAATCATTCCTCTAGTCAAGAAGGAGGATATAATGGATGTGAAAGGTCCTCTGCCAATATTGAGAATATATCTCATGAGATTACCAATCTAGGTATGTTATATACATATTCCTCTTATTTTTAAAAGAGAGTATTTTGAGTTGCAATGTAATAGGGTTAAACCTCTGAACCAGAACAGCCCCGAAATAGTTATGTTTATTTTTATCAGTTTAAAGTTATGTAGATAAGAGTAAGTTGCTCATAAGCATCAGTTAACAAGTACTTGTACTTGGTCAAGTACATGAATAAATTCAAATATATTTGTATACTTTGAACTATAATATACTGTTTCATCATAAAATTACTACTTGTTTATAATATTATTTGAAAAGTCAAATAAGTGTTTTATATTTTAGTTGGACCAGGTTTACATTTGTTGCATTTTGCAAGGAGAGGCGACACAAACTAGGTTCATGCCACTTTATCCTCCCCCATTTTCTGTAGTTTTTCCAGAGCTCATTTTGTATTCTGACAATTGCTGTTGATATGTCCATTGTTAGGAAGATCGGCAAGGAAGAATGTGCAAGGAAGATCGGCGCGGCAAATTGGCAACGGTTGGCGATGAACAGAAACGACTGGCGAAATAGACTGGGGAAGGTCAAGGCTCAACTAGAGCTGTAGCACCACTGATGATGATGATGTCCATTGTTAAATTACTAGTCAGATCTATTTTTGGGGGATGTTAAAGCTGTGCAATATTTGATATAACTTGTGTCTATTAATTAAGTCACAGCCTTTTTTAAAATCTATGAATATGTTGTGGATGTCAATGTTGTATTCCCATGATTTGTGTAGAATTTGCTTCACTATAAATAGCTGGTAAATTGTAGATCCTCCTTGTCGAAATCCAGTTTGATATTCTCCTGCAATATTTTCAGTTAATTTTTGGAGTAATTTGTTGACATGCAAGTGAAAACTTTGTAAGCTGTGCACAAAAGTGTTATGCCATGATAATTTTTACATTTCAGTTTATCTTTCTTTTATATAAGTAAATTGGGCATATAATTATGGTTTTCCAGTTTTTAGAGATCTTTTCATTATTCCAAATCTTGTTCAATATAGATACTAATATTAATCACCTAGTTGATTTATGAATAGCCTCTCCAAAAAAAAGTCTCATTGTACAGTGTTTCTGTTCATTTCACTCAAGACTTGCTAGAGAGACTGTGTGGCACCTGTATAACTATAATTTTATGTTTCATAAGTAGTTTGTATTATATATATATATATATATATATATATATATAATATATATATATATATATATATTATTAATTAAAATTCCTTAATAATTTCTTATAAATAATTCTTTGTCACATGCTTGTAGAAATAAATATAGAAGAACAAAAAAAATAAATCTAATAAAACGAACCTGCAACATCTTTACACCTTCAAAAAATGTATTTTGTTCTGGAAACAGGGCCCTCTCAACTTCTCTAATCTGTTTGTTAAAGAAAATTTACAATCTTTTGGATTTTCTTTTAGTTACCTTATCAAGAAAATCAATTATGATTACTCATTCACATTTTCAAAAAACTGAATCAAGAACTTTACCAGTAGATGTTTGAACTTGAAATTTCTTAGGACCAGAATTTCTTCATTTCATAAATTGCTGCTTTGCTTCTACACTTTAGAAATATATCCAAGTTTTATCCATGACCACAAAACAATTTTTTTATTTTTCAAAACCAAACACAGATTGATCATAATCTTGCTATGACATTTCTGGTCAACATTTTTTCTTATTTCGATGCCTCAGATATTTCTTTTAGTCCAATTCTACTATCTGATAAAATATCATGAACTACATATATATTTAGGAGTGAATACAAACTGAGCTTCCCTATCGCTGTTCATCTTCAATAGAAAATTTACCTCTTTTGAAACTTACATTCCCATTTTTTATGGTTGCTTATGCAAAATTTCAGTAGATGTTATCTTGTATTGTGCAATTCCGGTTTGGTTTTTTGACATAAAAGTTTACAGTGGCATTAAGTTATTCTTTGTTGCTATAGTAACACATTATTTTCTTTATCTATAGAACTACTCTAGACTAACTAGATAACTTCATACAATCAGGAACAGTAGTTTAGATAATCTCAAACAGAAATCCAACTTATTTAAACAAGAAATAGCTTCATTTTTAGCCAATAAGCTCTGAGTTGGAATTCTGCCATCACATGTACCATCTGTCTTGCAATATGGTAGCTTACCATACTTATTACAAAGTATGTACATATACATTGGTTTGTGCTAACTCTGTTAGCACATGACATGTCAATGTTTTGCTTGGTACTGGGACCATTGCAATTTGCCAGGAAGTGACAACATCAAACTTTGTCGCATACAGTTGTTTGGCTATTACTATTAGGCAAGCAGTTTACTCCTATAAGCAGAGCATACACCGACTAATTTTAAATGAATTTAGTAGTTTTTCTAAATGAGTTTGGTTAGTTATCACTAATTAAGGCATTTTTTCACCAAAAATTGCAAATAACTTGAGAATGAAGCATTTTTTGAAAAATTGCGAAGATAGAAAAAATATTTACTTCTATGAGATATGTAAAAAAAATTTACTTTAATCAATTTGGAAAATTGTTTTTTTCTGTTCTTTGTTATTTGTTAATAACAATTTTTTGTATATTTGGACTTCAGTCTTTAGCTGAAGTTTGAGACTGTCCTCAATGGTCTTTATGCGTCAGGAGTTAACAGTTGCTGGTGACTTATCATATTTCTTAAAAACATGTTTTATTTGAAAACCTGGTAGAGGGATATAGGTTAGGGCATGTATACTTCAATTTTGTTTGCAAACAGCTAAAAATTTCTACAAAAAATGTCCATTTCCAGACTGAGCAGACTGGTTTACACAATATTTTACAATCAATGCATAAAAAATCTCAGTGGTTGTTTTTCCATTTAAACTGGAGTTTCTCAGGCGTTGGTTATAGCTTCACTTAATGTTGATTTTGGCCTCGCAAATGAAAATATCTGATCACCACTTTGTCTTTTAAATCTCCCTAAGAAGAATATCATATTTGAGAAAAATAGAATCTTAGTTACCATTCAAAATATCTGAATTCTAACAAATATCTGAAATATGATATTTTTTATCTTATATCTTTAAATATGTTCGATATTTCTTTCTATACTCTCCCAGTACTTGTAAAATACAATTTTAAAGTAAACCAAGATAAACAAACCATAAATATTTAAAAAAAAAATTAAATCAATGTTTTTTAGATGAGTTAGAAGAAAATGGCGAGAATGGAAGAAATAAAAACTGTGAATTACCAAAAGACATTGAAGAAAGTCGCCTTACCCATTTCATGTTACATGATTCAGAAGACAGCACCCAAGATACAACCCGTACTTATTCTGATCAAGATTGGAGTGAACATGAAGATGGTGTATATAAATGTAAGATATGCAATGAACAATTCAGAGATGCATTATACTTGCAACAACACTTTAAAGACAGAAGGATTGGAGACAAAAGTTATAAGTGTTGTGGTTGTACTAAAGTCTTTAGGTAATGGATATTTTAATATAAAAATTTGCCACTTTACTTTATTGAATTCCATACCTTATCAAAATGTTTATGATCATCACAACTGAGCATGTGCTAACAAAAATATGTTGTGTATTATTTATATAAAACCAGGTTTTCATGTTCTGAACACACGTTAAATATAATATCTACAGTTATTAAAAATATAAAACATAAAACAATATAACTACCTAACTATTGATGCTTTTAATATGGCCCATTATTTTACTTTTAAACACTTGTACAGATGAACAACTTTTACCTATTTGAGGAAGCATATTAAACTGATCAAAACCTCTAAACAACAAAGAGTTTCTTGAATCCGTCCTTTTTGATTTTACAACATGTAAATTGCGATTACCTCGAGTAGAGTAATTCTGAATATCATAATTCCAATTAATAAAACTCACAAAAGTAAGGAAGAGCCAAATTATTTAAAATTTTATAATTGAACACCATTGTAAAGTAAAAAACTCTTTGTTGAACTAAAAGCCTCTGCAGCATGCTAAGCAGTGTTGCTATATGCAACCAAGAATGATTTTCATTCCACATTTTGTATTTTTCGTAACTGGGACGATTGATTTAATTGTAATTGATTGTAATGTATTGTAAGATTGTAATGTACAAAAATCACAAACGAACAAGTACCCAACTTATCAACAATACTTCAAAAATGAGGGAAACAAGCAAAGCAGATAGACTGAGGTCTATAGTAAAATTTTACACAGTGTAGATTACACCGACATCGAGAATGCAATATGGTTAGTATTAGAACCCGAATTTTTGTCCGATTTAACTTCCAATGACCAACGGAGAACAGCTGGTAACTGACCAGCTGACTGACAGTTACCAGCTTTTCTCCGTTTTAAGAAGTTTACTCTCCGGCTCTGGAACTCACTTCAGCCATGTATGTTACCTGAAGTCAAATTTAATTTAATACTGAACATCACAGTTTCTTTACAACATGATGTATAATCTTTTACAACTATATGTAATTTAAAGGGTTTTTACCCAGGTATTTTGGTGGCTCAGGCATTATAACCTTGCCATTTTAAAATTTTAAACCTGGTGATGGACTGTTTAGTCCGAAAACGTTTGTTTTATTGATTTATCCCTTTTAAGGGTTTTTAAATAAATATACCCATTTACGAAGACTAACCTCTTTTGTGACACGTGGTATACAGCCAGCTACAGGAATCGTTTTCCTTGTGGATATATATATATATATATATATATATATATATATATATATATATATATATTTATATAAATATATATATATATATATATATATATATTTATATAAATATATATATATATATATATATATATATATAATATATATATATATATATATATATATATAATATATATTCCACACTTAACTGTGTGACATAATTCTTTATATAAAGACTAACACCTCCTCTTTCATTACTGGTTCGTGAAAAATATGAAATTAATTAAAATGGGAAAGTGAAGTAACCTAAATATTGCTAGGCTCCAACCAATGCTTAATAACACAAACAATACTAACTTTCTCTAGTGTATCATGTCTAGATCATAACTTTTCTTTGCAAAGAAGCTTTGGATATTTATATGTATAATATTGATGTTGTTGAAACTGTTTTTGCTCGTACATGAAAATTTTCTTTCTCATCTGAGGAAGGGGCCATTAAACACATTTCTAAAGCATATGCTTGCTGAGACCATGTCTTTGGCAAATATTTTCCAAACACCTAGTCTCAAACAAAAAACTCATTTTTTATCCTATACTGGACTTTAAGAGAACGTTCCATTATCCTGGTACGTTATCTAATATTACATGTCACATTCACAGTGTACTTCATGATTTACAGGTTTTTAGTTCATTCAGTTACTATATATTAGTTTTTTAGGGATACCACACAACTAAACGTTCATTCGAGAAAGCACACAGGCGAAAAACCATACGCCTGCACAGTTTGCGATAAAAAGTTTTCTGTAAACGGTAACCTTAGTAAGCACATGAGAATCCATACTGGTGAAAGAAGGTTTGAATGTTTTACTTGCCAGAGAAAGTTTACCCAATTTGCTCACCTAGAAGATCACATTAAAACTCATTCAGGTGACTGGTGTTATAATATTTTTTTGTATATATTTTATAATTTAGTTTCTAATTGTTTTATAGGCGAACGACCTTATGTGTGTGACTTCTGTAATAGTGCCTTTAAAACACCGGCTAGATTAAGAAAACACAAAAAATCACATGAAGAGCAACACGTTTCAAAAAGATCTGTTCCATGTCCGGTGTGTTCAAAGGTAATGAAGAGTACGAAGCAATTATTAACACACATGAATACCCATGATGAAGGACCTCACAATCCATTCCCTTGTGACCAATGTGGGAAGAGTTACAAAAATTTATTTTCTCTAAATCTTCATTTAAAAGTTCACGGAAATATCAGGGATTATCAATGTATGCTTTGTGATAAGGCGTTTACTAACGCTAGTCATTTGCGGAGGCATTCCAATTCGCACACAGGCAAGTATAGCATTTAAAAATTAATAATTTTACTCCGTTGTTAAACGTAAGTGAATACGAAGCAATTATTGATCTTTTTGTGGTAAATCCGTAGGGCGTCATCCAGTTTTGACGTTATTTTCGCACAGTCTTGCAGTATTGTGGCGATAGAAGTGAATATAGGGAAATAATCAAAATGTAAGGTTATTGTCTGATGGTTTGTTCATAAGTATCATATTATTTACATATTTTTATACTTATATGTCTACTCACAGGAATAAAATCGTGAAATTAAATCGGTTCTTACTATGCAATGGAGTACATCAAATAAAGAAAGCAATATGACGAAGAACTGTGATTGATACTGCGAATTTTGAGTTTTGACATTGTTAGCGGGATAGCGTGCTTGTCTACAATTACTTTTTGCTAATTATTTAAATCTATATTAATTTTTGTGTCTCAAAGTTATATTTTTTGCAAAAAAAATACTAACTATTATCTTAATTTATTCTCGATTTCTGTGTGTAATTACATATTTGTGCTAATATATTTAGCTAATATGTTTCAACCTAAGCAGTTATATTCCAAATGACATTTGGTTATTTGATTTTGGCTTTAACTCTATTCAAAAGAAGGATATGAAATTATATTTGCTGCCTTGAATATAGAAATATGTACACAATTTTGTGAAATGGTGGAAAATTTTTAAGGTTTTATACTTTTAGAAATTCGTGATTCCAAGCCCACTAACGGAATGTGTATGAAACTTTAAGAGGTATAATATTTAAATAGGTATGTTTGTTAAACAAAGTATTTATTATTTAAAAGTTCCTGACTTAATAAGAGTAGCTGCTAAATTCATATTAGTGTCGAACCATGTACACTTAGGGTAGCGGGTAGACACTCTGTACGATCCCGGTAAATACAGGTCTGCTTCAGGGATGCGCCCCTGCCCACGCGAGCTAGGCTTTTTCTCCCAATTCTCTTAAATAAATTCTTTTAAATCCTACCCACCAACCCAGACCTACCCAAATCCTTCCCTTCCCTTCAAGTCAATGTACAGGACAAAAAAGAAAAGGCCCCCAGTGCCCAGCACTTCCCAGAGTCTTGATCACGGCAGCGATCAAACAACTAACGGAAGGGGGGGGGGGCAATTTGGCTATGCTGCTACAATATTCGAACACTGACGGACGACAATAGAGTCCCAGAAATAGAAAGTGAACTAAAGGATAAAAAATGAGATATCCTTGGTATATGCGAGACCAGAAGAAAAAGTGATGAGTATATAATACTAAAAAATGGCACACATTTTACACAAATTACAAAATACTATTAGGAGATTTTAATGCTAAATTGGCAAAAAAGAGGAAGATTATGATTGGTAACTATGGCTACGGGAAAAGAAACGATAGAGGAGAAATGCTTCTCAATTTCATGAATGAACATAATATGTACTCAATGAACTCCTTTTTCAATAAAAAACCAAGCAGAAAATGGACATGGACGAGTCCCGATAAAAAGACAAAGAATGAAATAGATTATATCTTAACGAAGAATAGAAACCTAGTAGGAAGACGTATCAGTATTAAATCAGTTTGACCTAGGAAGCGATCATAGACTAATAAGAACAAAACTAATAATTAACAAAAAACTAGAAAGAAAAAGAATACATGAAAAAAGATACAAATGGACATCTGAAGAAATCAAAAATAGTGAATTTAATAAAAAGATAGCGCATGCATTAAATCAAGTTAGCATGCAGCAGATAAACTCCAATGATATTGATGATTTGAATAACCTTATTGCCGAAACAGTGAATAAAAACCTTCTGCAACAAAAAACCAAAAACAACATACAATGAATTAGACAAAGAAATATTACAACAAATAAAAAGAAGGAACCTCTTAAATAAATCTAACAAAAGGAGAACCGACGAATATAGAGAACTTAATAGGCAGATTAGAAGAGGAACCAGACAACAAAAAAGAAAAGAAAACGAAAAATTAATAACAACAACTATTGAAAAAAATAAGAGTATGAAATTCCTCAGACCGACACTAGGACGACGTCAGATGATATCATTAATGGGAAAAGACGAAAATGAAATCACAACTAGAGAAAACATAGACACGAATAGAAGAATTTTACACATAACTTTACAGAACACATCAACAAGATGATGAGATGAGACCAGCACGGAAATTAATAAAAAATGTTGGATCAGAAATAATGCCAAAAGTAACAATTTCAGAGGTAACTACAGCATTGGAAAACATGAAGAGAAATAAAGCTGCAGGAGAAGATAGTATTACCACAGATATGATATTAGAAGGAGGTAAGGAACTAATTCCAATTGTAACTAAGCTTGTGGACAGCTGTTTACATCAGGGCAAAGTCCCTAAGAGCTGGAACAACTCTAAAGTTATCTTATTACACAAGAAAGGTGATAGTCGAAAATTGGAAAACTACAGACCCATCAGTCTACTGTCACACCTGTTTAAAATACTCACCAAAGTCATAACTACTCGACTAACAAGGAAATTAGACGAATACCAACCATATGAACAGGCAGGTTTTAGAAAAGGCTATTCAACTTCCGATCACCTGTTACTACAAAAATATTAATAGAAAATTGTAACGAATACAAGCTTCCAGTTTTCCTAGCATTTGTAGACTACGAACTGTCGATACCATAGAACACACGGCCGTAATAAACGCAATGCAAAATTGTAGAATAGACAACAGATATATTAACTTAATAAAAGAAACTATGAACCAAGCTACAGCTACATACTACCTAAATGAAAATGAACACACGAACCCTGTACAATTAAACAGGGAGATATTTATCACTCAAACTGTTCACCTTAGTTTTGGAGGACGTTTTTTAAAAACCTAAATTGGAAATATAAGGGAATAAACATCAATGGCCGCTACCTCAGTCATCTACGATTTGCAGATGACATAATCCTGATAGCTACTGACCTACAAGAAATGCAAACCATGCTTTTAGAACTACATACCGAATCTTCTAAAATAGGACTGAAAATGAATTTAAACAAAACAAAAGTCATGCACTCCGAAGACAATGTGACAATAATAAACGATAAAGTTATAGAAAAAGTAGGACAAAAAATAATACTAAATAGGGAAATTCAAACTTAAGAAATAAAAAGAAGAAGAAAGTTAGCTTGGGCAGCATTCGGTAAACTGAACTATATACTCAGAAATCAACAGATTCAATTACATCTTAGATCTAAAGTTTTTGATGCATGCATTATTCCGATATTAACTTATGCGGCACAAACATGGACAATCACAAAATAGAATATGAATATACTTAGAATCACTCAACACGCGATGGAAAGAGCAATGCTAGATATATCACTTAAGGACAAGAAAACAAACACATGGATAAGACAGAAAACCAAAGTCACCGATGTGGTGCAAAAATCATTAAAGTTGAAATGGAAATACGCTGGACATGTAGCTAGGAGCGATCTAAACAAATGGCACAGATCAATTTTAACCTGGAGACCATACCAACACAAAAGACCCAGAGGCAGACCTCCTATGAGATGGACAGATGATCTGAAAAGGACTGCCGGGAAAAATTGGCTACAAGTAGCGTACAGTAAAAAACAATGGAAAGGAAGACTTGAAGAGGCTTATGTTCAGATGTGGACGTGAATGGCTAGACAAGAAGATGTACACTTACAAAAAAAAAGAATCTCCTCTTTTAAGGCAAGGCATCTCTTCTAAACGCAATACAATTGGCATATCCGATTTATTTGAAATGAAAGTACAGAATGTTTCTAGCCTACACTATAGAGTATGATTTATTATGTATGTTTGGTATATTTGTGTTTTTTGTTGAGTAGCATGTTAGCATGTCTACACAGTTTGAGCTGTGAATTGTCAAAAAAATTATATCTGTTGAAAAAATATTTGTGAACATCTTTGTAAAGGAATTTGAATTCAAATATCAGATGGATGACAATCGAATCGCTTTAATTGAGTGTTTCTTCTTATTATTTTTGAATCTGGTTCTTCCATTGTTTCCCTTACTCATTCTAGACATCTCACATAAGGGTATTTGAACATGATAGGCGGCCAAATAATGTTACTACCAAACGAATAGTTTTTATGACATAAAAATATTTATAAAAAAAATACTGTTATTTTCAACTTTTGTTATCATTATTTTTAAAATGTTAAAAATATCCCTTTCGCTGCCAGAAAGAGTATTTGGCTAGGTTCAGATCTGCATGTAACAGCATTCGCAATGTTTCAGATGTGAAACTACTTTTCTTTCTTTTTTTATTTGCCTTCTACCACTCATCAAAGGGCCCGAACTCAAAAGTAGAAAATATCTCCGTTATAGCTTTCTCTTGAATATTACTGTGAGAAATATTGGTGCTTGTTGTGCACTTCTTCAGTGAGTTGTCTAATTGGCAACAATGCATTTTTTTATAATACATTGTATTTTGTGCAATGTGGGTGTTATGGGATATCTTGGATAGAGATCAATATATAAACGAGCAGTTTCTTTTGCGTAACTGTCGTATTGTTCATGATCAATTGTGTGGCCGCTTGGAATAGTAGGTATCTTCTTCTTATCTAAGTTCCATCTTCTATCGAAGGTTGGAAATCATCATGGCTATGCTGACTCTGTTGACTGCCACTTTAAAAAGTTCTGCACTACTGCATTCAAACCATTCCCTTAAGTTCTTAAGCCAGGATATTCTTCGTCTTCCCACATTTCGCTTTCCTCGGATTTTGCCCTGCATAATAAATTATTATAATGCGTATTTTAGCCCTCTCATCACATGTCCTAAGTACTCAAGTTTTCGTCTTTTGATAGTTAATATTATTTTCGCCTCATTTCCTACCTGTCTAGTTACTTGCACGTTTGACATTCTTTGAATGTATGATATTCGTAGGATTCTTCTGTCATCAACACCAAAAATTCAAAGGCGGCCAACTTATTTAGATGGACTTGTTTTAGTGTCCACGCTTCCAAGCCATAAAGAAGAGTAGAGAACACCGAAGCATTCTCAGGCGTAGTTCTAACCTTATATCCCGACAACAAAGAAACTTTTTAAGTTTAATGAATGATATACGTGCTATTTCAATACGTGTCTTAATTTCTTTGGTTTGGTCTACATCTGATGTTATCTATGTTCCTAAGTATTTATAGTTATAGTAGGTATATAGAGATCTATTTAGAAAAATATGCTACATAACAAGAGACTTTAAAGCCAGAACTTGGACGTTGAAGACCACATAGAAACTCTGAGAACCAACAGAGAAGACATAGCAGAGACATGGAGATTATATAATCGGGATCTATATACAGATGATTAACGCAAGGAACTTGTTCAAAAAAACTCCTGAAGAAATCGAAGAAGAACCTTACATACTCGAGAATGAAACAAGACTGGCGATCAGTAAATTTAAGTATAACAAACCATCAGGTCCAGATATAATAACAGCAAAAATGCTCAAAGCTATAGAAGAAACAGGAATAAAATTTCTTCACTTCCTCTGTAACAAAATATGGCATTCGAAGCAATGGCCTGACGACTGGACAAAATGCAGAATAAGGAGAATACATAAAAAAGGCAGCTTCTATAAATGCGACAACTATAGAATGATCTCTCTTACCTCACATGCCAGCAAAATAAGCTACATATAATAGAAAAATCTAGAGAATTCAATATACCACTATACAATTAATTTATAGATTATCGCAAATCATTCGATAGAGGCAAATGGCAACACTTATGGCAGATGCTAATAGAAGTAGGCGTACCACAGCACTTAATTTCGCTTATAACTGAACTATACGAACACACTACTGGAATAGCAAGTGCTTGACACTTGACACATAAGGTTCTGAAATCACTATATTTATTTGGGAATAATTTACAATTAGTTGTAATGATAATTACAACTAATTTTTACAATTTTGACGCCTCGATTTCCACTTCGGAAATCGTTCTCAAAAAAAGATTATTAAATAATTTTGTTGAAAAAAAAATGTATATTACCGCCAAGATTGTTAACAAGGTTAATTCATGTCACAAAAGGGGTGATTGATTTACTTTTAGCCTCGGGCGGCCAAATGGTCTATACGGCGGCCGTATAGACCATTAGGACTATAGTTTGATTCTTGTGGTAGGTTAGATGCTTCCGCGGTCGCCGGATAGATGGCGTGAGCAATATTATTTTGAATATTTACTCGGAATTATAATAATACATTTTTTGAAACGATTACACATTGACTGCGATTGTTGCCATATGAACGGCTTCTTGCAGGAATTTTACCACCAGAGTCTTCATTTGGTATGTCCATCGTGTTGGAGACCTTCCTCTTGGTCTTAGGCCTTCTTAATCCCATATAAACGTAATATTTAACTTAAACACGCCACAAGAAAACAGTTTCAGAACCTTTATAATCTATCTCTTTTGTTACATTCTCCAGTTTTCCTATTTTTGGCATAGTTAGATGTTCCAAATGGTTGTTTTTGTTAGCGTGTTTTTTTGGTTTGCAATATTTCTCGTACTTCCGTTTCCTTTTGCGATCTGTTTTTTTTTTCTGCTTTTTTATTCCTGTCGCTAAGTTCTTTTCTTCCTTTTCTGTATTCGTTTTGTGTACCCCTTTTTAGCATTTTTTAATTTTATTTTTTGCAAGACAGATTATTGCAATTATCCGATAATTAAGCTACCAAAAATCAATATTAATATTTATTTAAACTCATTTTTCAGAGTATTACCATCATTCGCACAAAAAATTGGAATTTTCAAACTATTTTAATATTCATGTCAATACATATCTAGTTCTTTATTTAATTTTTTTTGTCATATCAATTCATGTCCTTTTTTTAAATGTTTATAACATGGGTCACTTTTATCTCGTCATATTATCTTTCTTTTATTTTTGTGTAAATAATACTTTGTATATTAATCAAAGCTGTCTGATCTCGAGTCTTCTAAGTGGAAACTAAGATCATTAAAATTTAATAGACAATCGGGATTGTGATTATAATAACCTAAAACGTTTACCGGGCTTTTAGCCATTTTCTATTTCTTAAATTGGCGACATACATTTGACTTTGATTTAATTCATACGGGTAATCATTGAATAAGGAAGCATGTGCAAAGAATCTACAGATCGAGTATATTAACAAATTTGTTTAGAGATAAAACTATTAAAAATAGATAAATTATGAATGCAAAAGATACAAAGAAACTAAGATTCAATTATTTATTAACCATAAAAGCTCTATAAAAATAAAAGATTTAGAAGTAATTTAATTTTTCTCTTAAAACACATTCTAACATGAGAATAGATAATAAGAATAAGATTGTGGGTGAGATTGGATCTCTCTATTTTATCCCATTATTGATTTTAAACCCATCTGAAATTGATCTCTGAAGTCTGATTTTGGGTTTGGTGTTCAGTAGGCATATTTGTTGAAGTTCTATTAATTTATTTGTGATTTCCATTTTCTGTAATGCCTTTTTCATTTTAATTCTGTCTATATTATCTACAAGAGTTTTGAAGTAAATAAAAGTTGTTATGTGAAATTTCTTAGTATATTCTCTGGATTTCTGTATTATTTGTTCCAATGTATGAATTCCACTTGCATTTGATTCTAAGCAATTCAATTCTTGATTTTCGTGGACCAAATCTGTTGTGATTTTTTTTGCTTGTATTTTTAGTTTCTCGTTTCATCATGATCACTGACTGGAGAACCCTTTTGGGTCTTGGTGTGTTTCAGAAGTCTTGTCCATTCTGATCTATTTCGTGTTTTTTTCTCGTTGATTCCTATTTTCATCATTTCTATTTGATTTATGTATCTCAGCTTCGGCCTTACTCTTGTTCTTTTTCCGACTGACACTTCTTTGAATATTTTGTTAGTTATTTCGCCTTCTTCCATTCTTTCCACATGTCTTATCCAACGCAACCATCCTATTTTGATGAACGTTATGATATCCGAACCCTGGTATATTGTGTGTATAGTTCAAATAATTTTAATGTTTTTTCACTTTTAGAGAGTGTCCAGGGTTCTCAAACGTATGTGAGTACCGCGCTTATTAAAAGTTTTTTTTATTTTTTTATTAAAAGATTTTGTATATTTGGTCATTTTGTTTTTCTTGCGATGTTATCTGATCTTACTTGCCTAATTAAGCCATGGGAATATATTTGGCAATGAATATTCGCCTCTTCACTTCCGCTGCAACTTTGTTTTCAGACTAGGGATCCTAAGAATGTAAAGTTTTTACACCACCAATGTTGTATTCTCCTATAATAAGGTGCACCTAAATCATAATGTAATATTTTTCTTGTGATAATAACTATTAAGAATCTTCATTGAGTAGCTCTATATTGAGAGGACTACTATTTCAATCATAAACTTTTAAAAGTTAATATTGTCTTTCTTTTATGCCATATATTTTTGTTATTACAGGATTACGTCCATTTGTTTGTAATATCTGTATGAGGGGTTTTCCCTGCTCGCAAAATCTTAAGAGACATATGATGACACATACAGGCGAAAAACCATTTTGTTGTGACCTATGTAACAGGAGATTTTTGACATTTGAGAATCTTAACAGACACAAGAGGACGCATACAGGGGAGAAACCTTTTTCATGTAATATTTGTGGAAGACTTTTTGCTCACAGGTAAGTTACTCAATATGCCTGATTTTTTGTTAAGTGTGGCAATAGTATTTAGATAGGTTGAAATTAGTTCTTGCACGTATATATATATATATATATATATATATATATATATATATATATATATATATACACATATATATATATACACATATATATATATATATATATATATATATATATATAATATATATACGAAATAACAAGTCGAGAGACCTCCCTTATAGCAAATTAAGTGAACCGCAAATTCAAAGCCTCTTGCTAGAGGCTTTTAACGACGCTAGAACTTTTACTTCGACATACAATCTACGATTCACCTTTAAAAATTACCATCTTTTTCGCTCTTTACGTAGAGAAAGACGTTTAAATGAAAGTAAAAGTTTGCATTTCATTTCAATCGGAACTCCACCATTGTCCGACACGTGTTATTCAACCCATCGTCAGGAGCACTTGTGGAAGTACAACTGAAATGAAATGCAGTCTAGTATTTGGTCATTATAACCAAAATAACAGCCAGGGTACGCTAGCAGGGTCATTTATACAAAATAACAAGAAGTCGAGAGACCTCTCTAATAGCAAATTAGGTGAACCGCAAATTCAAAGCCTGTTGCTACAGGCTTTTAAACGACGCTAGAAGTATCTTTTTACTTCTACATGCATCTACGATTCACCTTTGAAAATTACCATCTTTTTCGCTCTTTACGTAGAGAAAGACGTTTAAATGAAAGTAAAAGTTTGCATTTTATTTCAATCGGAACTCCACCATTGCCCGACATGTGTTTCGGGTTATTCAACCCATCGTCAGGAGGGACCCAGCACTTGTGGAAGTACAACTGAAATCGATCCATTGTCCTGTTGGTTTTTCTTCTTTGGTTTGTTTTTGTGTTTGGTGATGATTTTAGCATCCTGTTTTAGGCCCATTTGCCTCTTCAGGATGTGGTTTTTGTCTTGTGGTTGTTGGCTGCTTTTGTTCGTTGGTTCCAGTGGTGGTTGCGGAGCCTGGACAATCAGTGGCGAAAAGGCGTTAGGTTCGGTTCTTTTCAGAATTGTTTGTCTAAAATGAAATTAGTAAGTATTAGTATTTGTTTAATAAGCATGAGATGAGAATGATATTAATATATGTATAAATACATGCATTAATATTAATTAGTATATATATATATATATATATATATATTATATATATATATATATATATATATATATATATATAATGTATATATATATTAATATGTGATTCGCGACGCGATGAGGGCAGCTGCAGCTGTATCCTCAGCAATAGACAGGTATCATTTGCAAGCGGGATCGGGAAACCGAAGAAAACCGATCCCCCCCTGTCTAGGCAAGCTCGAAGTGAGCAATTTAACTTGGAATGCGACGGTGGTAGAGAGGAGTTGCCTCCTGTATGTCAATGTATTCATCAGGGAGTTCGTTACTGGCAAGTTCCAGTAAAATAGCGGGTAGGTGTGGGATTTTTGGTTTAGGGTGTCTGGTGAATACATTGCCGAGGGATGAACAGACAGTTTTTAGAGTGCGTTAGGCTCTGAGATTTTGGCCCCGGATTGTGCGTGTAGTATAACTTCTGCTCAGAGAGTGTAGTCTCTCATTTATGGGCTGGATATTCGATAGTTGATGTATGAGGGCGGAAGGGTAGTCGCAGCGTTTACCATTTACTCTATGCAGATTTTCCTTTCTAAGTCTTAATAATTTTTCTTTAGTTCGTGCCGGCATCGTAATATAGATATTAGATCTATACTCGAAAATCGGTCTTATGAAAGTTTTGTACGTATGAATTAAAGTACGAGGATGCGTTCTTCCGAAATTACATCTCTAACTATTAAGGAGCCCGAGTCTGCTCCTAGTCTTATTACAGTCTATGTCCAGATCGGCCGTCCAGTTTAGCGTTTTAGTAAACACTACACCGAGGTACTCGATCCGGTCACGGAGTTGGAGTCGGTCGGCCTATAGTGTGAGATTGTTTCTTTCGTTGAACGGTGCAACACGTTGACTATGTCTTGGATGTCTAAAGATAATCATTTGGGTTTTGTTCGGGTTCGGTGTTACTCGCCATCTCCTGCACCAGTTATCAACTAGTCTAAGGTGATTTTGAGCACACCGAAGAACAGAATCCATGTTTCTCGCTGTCGTTACTAGGGCGGTGTCATCTGCGTAGCGCAAAGTAGTGTTGTCGGTATTATTAGGATTAGGAAAGTCACTATTGTATATAGTGTATAATATAGGAGCCAATACAGAGCCCTGTGCTACTTCAGCTGTAGGAGTGAATGTGTCTGAGAAATAACCTCGCTCTTTTACCCTAATACGACGATCAGAGACATAAGATTGGATAAGTCTGACGAATGAAAGTGGTAGGCCGATGTTCAGTAGTTTCTTGACCAGTCCCACATGCCAAACTTGGTCAAAGGCTTTTTGAACATCGAGAAAAATACTTAGTGAGACTTTGCCGTCGTTCAGACTTTGAGTAATGTGTGTAACGATTTCAGTCAATGCCGTATTAGTAGAGCACCCTTCTCTAAAGCCGAATTGAAATGAGAGAAAGATGTTGTGTTCGTTGGTAAAGTCAATGAGTCTTTCTTTTAGGATCCTCTCAAAGACTTTAGCTAAAACATTAGTGAGTGAAATCGGCCTGTGAGAGTTACGATCGGTGCGGGATTTGCCCTTTTTCAAGAGCATAATTGTATTGGCTACTTTCCACTGAGATGGAAAGTAGCAGAGTTTAAGAGTGGCATTGATAATAATGGTTAAATAGAGATAGACACTCGGCGGTAATTGCTTCACACAGCTCCTGGCGATATTGTCAGGACCCGGTGCATTCGATTTGCCAATTTGACAAAATTTTTTGGAAGTTTGTTGATCCGCAGGCGCCATGATGGGATGATCATGCGGCGCCTGCGGATCGAAAGGGGCGCCGAGTCGTCTGCGACTCTTTCAGTCGCAGCAAGGAAATCGAGATCAAATCTAGGATTATTTGGTGTGATTAATGTGTTTTGTAAGTGGGTTTTAAAGGCGTCTGCCTTTTGTTGATGTGTGTTTAAGATTTGATTATTCACCACAAGGTGAGAAGGATTGTTTGTTTTCTGTTTGACTAAAGGTGGCCGCAAACCATCTTCTGACCTGCAGATTATTCACCTGAAGTTTGATCACCGCGGACAGGCGGTTATATTCTGTTTTGACAAGTGGATTGCGAGTACGTTGAAACTGACGTAGGAGTCGTCTCTTGTGTTTTATATTATTAACGATATACTGAGGTAGAGGTGGCCTGTGAGGGTTGATAACCTTATTAGGAACTGACAAATCAATTGCTTGATTTATCAGTTCGGTGATAGCCGTGATAGCTTGATCGATATCATTTGTATGTGTTAAATTGCCTAACTCTGGAATATTAACTGATAAGAAGGCTTTGTAGCCATCCCAATTAGCGTGTTTATAGTCTCTTATTACTTTAGGGGGTGAAGGAGGGAGAGTGTTAAATATCTGTTCTTTAACCAGCAGGGGTAGGTGATCCGACGAAATAGAATCACCCAGAAAACATTCGTCGTCCAGAAGGTCGATCACATCATATATACATACAATATGATCGACCGTAGACATGCCCTGGTGACCCACAAATGTCGGTTCACGGTTACGTATACGATGGATAGGGAGGTTAATGAGCAGATCCGAAAAGTCATTGCCTGCACGGTTTGTAGCCGTGTCGCCAAATTGTATACGCCTGGCGTTAAACTCTCCGAGTATGATTGCCTTGTTCAGGCTGGAGACATAATTAAACAATGTTTCGGACATGTCTTGGTGAGGATGTTTGTAATAAGAGACTATGGTGAGTGTAGTGTTATCATCGAGGTGGATGTCAACTGCCAGAAAGTCTTCATCATTGAGGATAATGTGAGGTGGAATATTGTGAGGAGAGAAAGGGATGCCATATTTAATAAGGAAGCCAATACCGCGAGATATTTGGCTACGGGGGCGGTGCAAAGTGCAATAACCGGGAAAAATAGGGTCTGTTTTTGAAAGGGTGTCGGAGAGGTCTAGGATTTGGATATTGTGCTGTTGTAGGATGTGTTTGATGAAGGGGCGTTTTCTCGCGACACCCTGGCAGTTTACAGCACCAAGCGAACTATCCATTAGAGGGGAAGGGAGGAGATGGAGGCTCTGTTGTTATGGGCTACAAGAGTGCTCCTGTGACCGAACATCAGAGTAGAGATGCGGTTTGTGATATCCAAGATAAGCTGTCGCCTATCCGAATGGAGGTTAAAAAGGATTAAGGAAGTGAATTCCATGACTGCCTTCATGTCTGAGGACAGTTCGTAGGGTGGGTCTCTTTTGTCGGTGGTTATTGGTTGGGTCTTTAGGGATTTCCCTCCTGAGTGGGCATTTGACCGAGTAGGCCCCATGCTCGCCACCGCAGTTAGGGCATTTAGGTGTTTAAGGAGTAGGGCAGGAAGTACAGGAGGGACACAGTTAGAGTTGAAACGCTCATGCGGAGCCCGACAAAGTATACTCCTCTGGTCAGCATCTCAGTGTATTTTAACTCACTTGATGTGAACAGTTTAACGTAGGTTGTGGGAAGGTTACCTCGGGATATTATCCGCCATAGTCTGACTACAGGGATACCAAGTTGGTTAAAAAGGACGGTGAGATCGGCATCGGAATAAATTCTATCTACTCCTTTGACGACTACCATAAAGCCAGGATTATTTGTGCGGGTGGAATTGTTTTTTGGTGCGGCACTGTGTTTGGGGGTGATTTGTATCCTGGGATCACCCAACGTATCACGGAGTCTCCGTTGGACGTCTCTGGAGAAATCTCTGTGTAGATTTCTCCAGAGGGATATTGGTGATGGTATAATTGAAGAATTTGGGTTGTTGAGCGGGAGCAGGGTTAGGAACAACAGGTGGGGGTTGAGGTCTAGGGGTATGTATAGCAGAAGCCTAGGTAGGGTTTTGAGTTGGATTTTGAAGTTTCAGATGGTTATTAGTTGTGTGTGGATGGTTGTATATGGGTGGTATGGGTGGTGAATGTGTATTGTTGAAGGGTAGCTTGGGTGGTAGTCGGTATTGTATGTAGATTTGGGGTGGAGGAGGATCGGGACAGCTGCAGACGCGCGATCAACCGGTCGATTTGGTCATCAGGAAGGGTGGAAACCAACTCCTCGACGTAGTTGTCGGTGACAACATTCATCAGAGGAGTGTCATCTGGTATATGAATAGTAGGTACTTCACAGGTAGGTGGTGCGGGTTGAGTGTACGAATGATTCGGTGAATTTGGTATTCGGTGAAACTGGATTTTGAGAGGCTCTTTGCGTTGGTAATGGTGGATAAGTGGAAATGGGTGGTAGCGCTGCATAGTCGATTTCGGTATTATTAGAGGTGTTTAGTTGAGTTGGTATAGAAGGAGGGTCGGGAGGTTCTGCAGGACGCGTTTTATTTGACCTGTTAGAACGGGTCGATCGTGGCATTTTCGACAGTGGAGGGCTAGGTCGTACCTAGAAGACACCCTTTTACCAATACGTCGCGGTGCAATGTATTAGTTTGCAGGTAGCCGGAATATACTAACTTTCTTAGGCACGATGTGAGTTCTATATGGTTATTGGTTTGTTCTGTATGGTTACTATTTGCTAGCACCAACTGTTTTTCCACTAGTTATCAATTGTGCAATTAATAACTGTAGGAAATTCTCCGTGGGTGTCTGTTCGGTGGTCAAGTGCAGTATAACAAGCAGAATCAGCTAGACAACTCTCAATTAATAACTGATAGCCCCAGCAACAGCGTACGTAGGTGGCCTTTTGTTACAACAACCACCCACTAAGCATGCACTGAGACCAGCAGAAAATCAAAAAAGAAATTATCAGACTAACCTGAATGCGAATCCACACTATCACACACAACACTTTTTTCCTTCTTGAACAATCACAGCACCGCTATTGAGTTACCGAACGTGCTGTATATATCTGTAAGGGCATTATAAAAAAATCTAATGATTCTGGTAATAATAAAAATCTAACAGTTTTAAAATATAGGACCTCGACGTTATCAGGACTAAATGTTTAAAGAACATTACCAGTATGCAGTAAAATCTTAGAGGACAAACCTACAGTGGAAAAAGATAAAATCAAAAGAAAAAAGGTAGAGAGGAAACATTATTATGATAGATAGGCCAAGAAAGTGTAATGCTCAAGAAAGACAGAATCTGGGTGCCAGCAGAAATTATAGATAAACATGAGGGTCCCAGGTCCTATATTTGTAAAGTATTTCGAAAATAATGAATATAGAAGAAACGTTTATAAAATCTTCTCCACATCACTTTAATACTCGACCTGAATTTGATCCTAGTTTAGAATTGACTGCTAGAGAATCTTATAAAAATATGTCTAATACATCACCAGACAAACTTAATAATAATTCCAATAATGACATTAACAATTCAAGTGATAGTAGTGAAAGTGAGATTCAACCTTAAACTAGATCAGGTAGAATAATAATCAAGCCTTCCAGATTTTGGGAGTAAAAAGGGAGATGTATGATATAACTTAGGTTGACAACACTAGCAATGAAGGCAGGGATGACATCAGTCAGTCAACAGGCTGACTAGGTTATAAAAATTTACACGTTCTCAAGGAGCACAAATAAAATATCAAAACTTATGTGTGTGTATTTATGTACTTGTTCACAGTAACCATAATACACTATGAAAACAAATGTGCGAAGAGAAGGATAAAAGAAATTGATTTAATATAGGAAAAATATAGGAAATTGATTTCAAAACATTAATGGGAATTGTCTTAAATTCTAGAATTGTTCGCAGGTTAGTGCTTTTGGTGGCTTTACCTATTTATTTTCTGTTTTTATAATATGAAATACACAATTTTGCCATGCACTAATCGTTTGTCTTTGGTTAAGCCTATATTTTTAACAAATATGTTTGGAAAAACCAAGTAAAAATTCAACATAGCAATTATTAACGAATATTAATTCTGTATAATATAAAATTAAACAACTAGTCGCAAATCAGTTGAATTGCAAAAATACTAATGATAGTTTAACACCACATACCCCTAGAAATTATTCAATTTCTCTTTTTTGATAGCTTTTTGATAGTTTTTTGATAACAGAATAAAAGTAGGAAGAACTGTCTAGATATTGTCACCTCTGCCTAGATATTTAATTAATATTCAAAAATATGTAATGTTTTTGTATGCCAATTTATAAAAAGTTTCATTTATTCAGCACCTGGAATAGCTCGGAAAGTGTTGCAAAAGGTGTTTGTTTATTTATTGCAGAGAGGAGTTAGTGTATGCTTACAATTAAATGGACATTTTCAACAATTTTGTAGTACTTTGATGGTATACAAGGCAAATATCGAACACAGTAATTAATTAAATCTTGCTCAAGTACTTTCGATCAATAGATCATCTTCAGGGGCATTTCGTCAGTTGTGGCCTATCCGACATGAGCAGAATGTCATACATGTAAATTTGGACATAACAATACAATACACAAAGACACACAAACACTTTAAACTTTTTAAAAATGGAGAAGCTACATGTTATATAGAAGCCGGAGACAGAATCTAGATTTTAAAGTGTTTGTTTGTCTTTGTGTATTGTATTGTTATGTCCAAATTGAATGTATGACATTCTGCTCATGTCGGATAGGCCACAACTGACGAAATGCCCCTGAGGATGATCTATTGATCGAAAGTACTTAAGCAAGATTTAATTAATTACTGTGTTCGATATTTGCCTTCTATACCATCAAAGTTCAATTATTCGAACATTCAACCTTATATTGAATTTTGTAGTAGTTTGAAATTATGCCTTCATACTTTGTATTCACATTCAGTTTCAGAAGGTGAAAGGTATGTGCTTGTTTGACGATTACTGCTTTAATATTTTTATTTTCAATTTGTTGTCAGTATGAAAACTGTCATGCATTTGATTTCGGAAACGATAGAGTTGATTGTTTATTTTCAACTGTACTTGTACCTTCAACTATGATGTGACTGTATACAACTGTTTATCACCAACTTCGTTTTTTTTTAATGTTAATGGTTGTACTCATCTGCTCTATAAATCTTTTGTAGTTATACATATATTATTTCAATGGATTCACTTGATCGTAGATTATTTATAGGACTTCCATGTATATTTATGCATCTTTTATTCTGATGTGCAACTTGGAAAAATATTTTCTATGTATATCTTAAACATCGTGGAAAAGGATGAAGCCATGTGTCACGATACTACTTATTTCGTGTACTGACTGTTGGTAATTCTTAATTCTGTCTTTTGGTTCTAGTATAATTGTGACCTCATTTTTATATCATTGTCATGTTTATCATTTTCAAAGACCTTTTGGTCATCGATAAAGATGTTTATTGATTTCGCGTCCTCTAGTCATAGCATTTCTGCACTAGTAACTGAATACAAAAAAGTGCTTCTCGTGTCCTCTCTTTACGTTTTGTTATAAATTCGCCTATAAATTGCCTTTAGGATCGCTTTGTATATGTGGTTCATTCATTGGGCGAAAATCTTAGGAGTAACTATGTAGAATTGTGCTTCTATTTTTAACGAAGGTGAATTTAAGAGTATCTGATCTGTATCCACATTTACTTTTTCTGGTACAATAACGTGATTCCGTGAATCTGTTGGATCTTTATCAGGTTTTGTATGAGTATAATATGTGCCACTTCCATTAAATACGGGAATACTTATATTCTACTTATATAGTAATTATTCTGTAGCAATCATGGATTTGTGCTTGAAGGACCTTACCTTAATGTTATATTCCGGCGCCTTATTAAATAGTATGTCATTCTTGATTATGTGTTTTACTCATTTAACATTAAATTTGTGGATTGGTAGTAAGAACGTTAGAAAAAAGATCCAGTAAGTATGTTTGCCAGAGTTTGTATAATTCTTTGTGATGTTATGGTGTTACTGTTTTTTGCTATTTTTTAGAAGTTTTTTATATTATGGCATTAGTAGGACATAACATGAAAACAGATTTTTTGTTATTAAACCGAAACCAAAAATTAGACAATTCGAAGTAGTGTTGGTGGTTCGTCGGAGTTCTACCTGAATAAACAGCCATTACATTATGTTCGCAATTTTTTAATAGAAACACTACATAATACTTTACAATGTGATAACGCGTAGTTTACATCTATAATATCGATAAACAATATACCTACTGCATAATGGTTTATTATTTAGGATTATATAATGTATAATGTAACATTAATTATCCATTTAAATCATTAGGACCAGACCACGTATTGCCGTTTCTCAAAAATTTTTCTAGTAAAGTAATATGACACTTGTAATTACTTACTTTTTAGCAATATTCGTAATAAACCCTCTATTTTAATAGTAGCTAATAAATTTATATACAATTATGTAAAGAATATTTCCATACTATATTTTTAAGGCCGTCGCTTACTAACAATTGAATATTGAAATATTTATTATTTTTTTAGCACCACGGCCAAAGAACACGTAAGGATACACACAGGAGAAAAGCCATTTTCTTGTCCATTTTGTATAAAAAGCTTTGCTCTGAATAAAGCCTTGTATAAACACGTGCGAGAAAACCATCCGTTTGATTTTGATGAGTTTAAGAGAGAAAATGACTTACCTCTAAATATGCGTAAAGCGAAAGAGAAATTAAGACGAGAAGCACGTGATAGATTAAAACGGGAAGCTATGTCCATAGAAGATACAGATCTTAAGCAACTTATAACCAGTGAGCCAGTTATGATTAAATCTGAACCAAATGATGTAACAGTAAAAACAGAGAAGAATGAAGGAGGTATACGACCGTTCATGGAGACTCTCCAATTAAAACCTGTTGATATTAAACTGGAGATTGATAGCGATATTGTAGGAAATTCACTAATTATTAAAAAAGAAAATGACGAGAGCGATGACAGCTAACATTATTTTTGATTTTGTATGAATTAATTAAAAATGTTGTATATTTTGTTTGCTGTTTGGATAATTATTTATATTGTCATGATTGTTAATTGTTTAAAAGTTATATTAATTGATAAATATATTTTGTTCTCAAATGCTTTGTTAAATTCCCTTTATTATAAAGTACACTTAATATTGTTCTCAAGCTATTTTTTGTGGCATCTTAATGCAATTTACTATTTTTGATGGGAATACGCCACAATTTAAGTATAAAATAAGTTTATTTTTGACGCTTCGATTTCTTTGAAAAAAAAAAGCATTTGGTTTCGTACAAATAGCATGTGTCATTTAACACATTTCAGCAAAGCGCCATTATTATAAGATAAATAAAGACATATATTATACAATATGTCCCACTATGTTGGAACCATATGGAAAACTTTTTTATTAATAATTTTACGAAAAACGAAAAAAAATCTTTTTTATAAAAAGTTCTGCATGTTCTAAGATCTAAAATACAATCATTAGATATCAAATGTTATTAATAGTATACCAGTTATGTCAAAAAATATGAATTTCGCTCAAGAGTAAAGTACGTTTTTATTTCAATGTCAAAAATTGTTACTCAGAAAAGTTGATCAAAATTAAAAACTACGTACAATTACGTACGTTTAAATTGAAAAAATAAGTTTGTTATTTTTTATTGATCTTTCTATTTTGAATGAACATCTTTATCTCTTCTGATTAAAAAACACATGATAACCGTATCGTTTCTAAATATTTTCTAACAATTTTTCATTTTAAACACGTAATTAATGCATGTGCGTTTATTTTGCCAATAGGAACATAGGTCCTCTAACTCCCCTCGAACGAGACAGCAAAAATCATAGCGCCTATCAAAATCCCCGTTAGTGGTCTAAATGGCTTGTATTTATTTAGTTTCAAAATTCTTGTTATTGCATTTTGACTTACAGTTTATTGCATCAACGATGTCCTCTTGTGTAGTTAGAGTTTTGAATTTTCTATCACAGACATTACTTCAAACTGTCCATTCTTATCGGCAAACAGGTTTTTGCGTTTTCCATTAAAATTAATTTTTATACTTCCAGTACTCTAAATTTATTTACTATTTTCGTAACTGTGCAAGCATTTCTACTAAATGTTGTAAATACTTTCCAACAAATTTGTCTAAATACAACTGATGTTTTAAAAGTCAATGTCAAACATATCTTGCTATAAACAAATCATATATTTATCAGTGCAACCTAGATTTCACGTAACTACAGTTAAAGTTTCATTGATATTGTAGACAAAATTGTGGATATGTCGAGGCATTTTTAGAATGAGGGAAAAATAAATATCTATTTTTTCCAGTAATAATGTTCCAGTTTTGTTGTTCCAGTATGAATGTTCCTATTTTCAAAATAAATGCACATGTATTAATTACGTGTTTAAATTGCAAAATGTGTTTCTTGATCACAAGATATAAAAATGTTCATTAAAAATAAAAAATTTAGTAAAAAATAACAAAACAAAGTGTATGTAATTATATATTTGGATACAGTTTTTAGTTTTGATCAAATTTTCTTAACAATTACTCTTGAGCGAAATTTATAGGTTGTGGCATATTGTATTATATAATATATATATATATATATATATATATATATATATATATATATACTGTATTATATATATATATATATATACAGTGTAGGAAAAATTTTATGGTCGGTATGGACCTTACGTGAGATGGAGTGAGAAACAGCTGTTTAAAAAGAGAGAGGTATATTAGGTACGCCCTTTATATCGCCGAATGGAAATATTAAAAAAGGGGAAATTCAACGTTGCCAAACTTATTGGATTTATTTCACCTGTTGTTTTTTTTTGCATTTGAACAATGTTCTAAGATAATCCAATTTGGGCGAAATTGATTTAAATGGCAGCTTACTCTTTTTTTTTATTGGGAATATGCCACAAGTTTACTTTACAATAAGTGTAATATAAGATTTTGATTTCCACTTTGGAAATCGTTTTATATACCTAAATAAAATTTATTAATGTTTCGTATTTTAAGTACGATTTCCGAATTAAAAATCTAAACATCAAAATAAGCTTATTTTAAAGTCACATTGTGCCTTATTCCCAATATGAAATAATAAACTGCATACAATAACACCACATTAAAAAATATTCACACACAATAATTTATTTGGCAACGTCGTACGTCTGGTCAGAATACCGAGTAACGGGTAGTAGAGGTGGGTCGTGGTAATTTTATCGTTAAGAGCGTAAGAGCGATTAATATTTTTTAAATGCATTCATTTTTTTCGAATCCTGATAAAACTAATAAATATTCTTGAAAAATTTAAACGCAGAATGAACCAATACATTATTACCGAGGGCCAAAAGTCCCTGAAAACTTCTATAATGTTTATTTTAATAAGTTATAAGGGCGAAAAAAAAAATTAGTGTGATTTTTAATTTCAAATATCTCATTCAAAAAACTTTTTGTTTATTCTAAGGGACTTTCGGCCCTCGGTAATAATGTAATCTTTTATTCTGCATTTAAATTTTTCAAAAATATTTGTTAGTTTTCTCAGGATTCCAAAAAAAATGAATGAATTTAAAAATTTAAATTTTTGTAAACAACTAACTATGATTGTTTAAAAGTAGTTTCAAGTAAGAGAGTACCTACATAAACAAACATAATGGCCAAAACATATGGCGTACCATAACAATCACTGAACTACCCTTCAAGTATTTTTGGCCACTCATTGTACTTGTTATTTCTTTAAACGGCCGTAAAATTTGGGAAAGCTGAGAACAAATAATCCAGTGTTTTTTATTTAGATTTGGTCTAAGTCTAAGTCTGTATTATTTAATACCGATGTGGAACGGAAATACACGCCAGTACACCGAAAATATCAAAATACAGAGAGGAGTCCGCCAGGGTTGCGTGCTGTCCCCACTACTTTTCAATGTCTACAGTGATCGGTATTTTAAGAAGCGCTCTCTGACTCAATAGAAGGTATATCTATCTATGAAGAAGTTTTGAATAACTTACGTTTTGCAGACGATACAGTAATAATTACGGATAACAACAATGATTTACAGAACCTAATGCAACGCCTTAATGAACGCTGTCATGAGTACGGACTGAAGATAAATTTAAAGAAAACTAAATGCATGATCATGACTAAATCTGCACAAATATCCAATTGACTATTGAAGATACTGCAATTAAGAGTGTTAATAACTATAAATACAGGAACATGGATAACATCAGATGTAGACCAAATCAAAGAAATTAAGACACGTATTGAAATAGCACGTACATCATTTATTAAACTTAAAAAGTTTCTTTGTTGTCGGGATATAAGGTTAGAACTACGCCTGAGAATGCTTCGATGTTACGTGTTCTCTACTCTTCTTTATGGTCTGAAAGCTTGGACACTAAAACAAGTTCATCTGAATAAGTTGGCCGCCTTTGAATTTTGGTGTTACAGAAGAATCCTACGAATATCATGGATTCAAAAAATGTCAAACATTGAAGTAACTAGAAGGATAGGAAATGAGGCAGAAATAATATTAACTATTAAAAGACGAAAACTTGAGTACTTGGGACATGTGATGAGAGGGCAAAAATACGCATTATTACAACTTATTATGCAGGGCAAAATCCGAGAAAAGCGAAATGTGGGAAGACGAAGAATATCCTGGCTTAAGAACTTAAGGGAATGGTTTGAATGAAGTAGTGCAGACCTTTTTAGAGCGGCAGTCAACAGAGTCGGCATAGCCATGATGATTTCCAACCTTCGATAGAAGATGGAACTTAAAGAAGAAGAAGTGAAACGGATTGCCTCTTCTAACTCAGTCATTCTTTTTAACCTGTAATAGGTGAAGTTCTACCTAGTTTTCACGTCTTGGATTGGCCGTTTGGGAACTTTGTTATGTTGTAATTAAGCCTTTCTGAAGATAAGGTACTTTTTTTAATGTTTTTTGCAGAATTGTCGAAAAAAGGACTTTTTTTTATCTATTATCAAATCAGTTTTGACATAACATTCCTGAAGTAATGAATCTAACAGTTTTTCTTGTTGGCGGTTTATATCCAGGAATCCACCCTGCAAACTTTTTAAAATCTGGTTCTTCACCTATACAAAAAGGGATCAAACGAGTCTTTGCATAAGTTTAGTAAATCAATAAGTTTAGTCAAGAAAAAGAAACTGATAAAGATGACTTAAGTCCATTGTGTATTTTTGATGAATTAATTGGACATGACTCATCTAAACATACAACTGTATCGAGAGATATACAAGAAGTAGACATGTATTTGTGTAATAATATATTACCCACAATAAATTTCGAACGGAGATTGGAACTGTCCATTACCGTGGTGGAAAAACCATCGCCATGTATATCCTAACTTAGCCACTATATTCATAAAATATTGTAGAATTGTAACAAAATCTTTTCCTTGTGAACACATGTTTAAAATCTGGTTTAATTTTAAATAAAAGAAGAACACAGTTAACAAGAAAAGTAGAAAAACTTGTTTTTAAATGTCAATTTAGACGGTTCGCGATTTAATAATAACGTGTAATGTAAATGTAAGTACTATTTGTATTGTTTAATTTATTTTTCAAGTTATAATAAATATATCCTTCGTTAGGTTCTTTCACTTCAATACTTATACACATAAACGATAATAGCCAATATGTTTGAGTACTCGCTAATTTGAATCAACTAGTTACAGTTTACGAAAAACGGTTCCGATAAAAATTTAAAAAACGGGAGGACCCACCTCTAGTTTTTTAGGTATATTAGGATCGGAACCAGAGAATATGTAAAATATCTCTGATCGGAACTATTCGTCTCACTAATGGCCAATAGGTGTTAAAAATATTTGAGGAGGGGAGACCAAGGGGAAATATGATTGTTATCTTTGTCTATTCGCTGAAAATATGATTTTATATCTGCGTTAGATATCCTGTTAAATTTTAGCATACCGACCATAAAATTTTTCCTACACTGTATATATATATAATACATACATATATATATATATATATATATATATATATATATATATATATATATATATATATATATATATTTAAAAAATATTCAATAGTTGAATAGCAGAGGTTG